CTGTACAGCACAATCAGGCAAGGAAGATGGGCTGGAAGATGAGCAAGAAGATGATGCAGAAGTCCAGGGAATGTCCCAAGAAACAAAGGTCACAGAAATGGAGTATTTTTGCTACCACCTTCATTTCTGCAACCTTCCATGGGCATTCCACCTTTTCCACTGTGGAAGGCTATTCCAGCAGTTCATTGTCAATGCCTGGGCCTGTGTGGAGCAAGCACACCTGCGTTGGATTGAATTTAACCAAAGAACAATCCAAGCAGAAGTGTACAATGGCTTAGCAGATATGGTCACAAATAATGACCACACACATGAGCTTTCACAAGTTGGCAGGTGTGTTATTCTGCTGTCAGGGCACCAGCTCATTGCTTGGTCAAGAGACATGACTAAGCCTTTATGACATGGAAGTAGCTGGTATACCTTGGCATGTGCTGGAACCTGCTGGAAGGATTGGATGGTCAGGTGACCTGCTGTGCATGGCTGTGCATGACCTCATATGACCTCATCCTTGGTCATATGACCTGATCACCTGACTAGGCTGAGTAAGCAAGATGTTCTAGCAGGTTCCACCACAGAGGTATAAATATAAGGCCTACTCTGCCTGAGGACTGTCTCTTCAGACTTGGTCTCTTAGGATCATCCACAGGTACCTATACTGTAGATAGGTCTTAGTCATCAGGTCTACTCCACTTCCTTGTTGCCTGCTTAGACTCTTGGCACTCTTAGGTGAGCAGACTTAGTCAGCCTGTGTTGCCCTAACACTTACCCAGTGTCAGTGGTACTTCTCCCACCTAATAACAGAGGACCAATTCCTATGCTTTGACCACATATTCTGGAAGACCCTGTCCAGTGTTTAACTCGAGCATTTCTCAGCCCCCATAATGCAATGGTGGATACATTCAATGCACAGACATTGGAGTTGCTGCAATCAGATGAAGGTCTTCTGACTCAAAGCAAAAAAAAAAAGAACACTCACAACTTTTGCAGTAGTTTACACTAGCCTTGACTCAATCAAAGATGGAGAAGCCCTGGATCTGGATAATGAAGAACAAATGCCTGAATACTTAAACATGCTCACCATGCCAGGGATTCCTCTGCATGCCCTCACATTCAAAGTGGGGGCAATTTGCCTGCTCATGAGGAACCTGTCAGTGGCAAAGCACTTGGTCAAGAATGCCAGAGTAGTTCTTGAAAAACTCAATCAACACTTTGTTCAGGTATGACTGCTAGCACCTAATGGTGAGCTGAGCAGAGAGCTCTTCTGTATTCCCCACATCCATTTTGCATTTCAACCACAACATTCAAGCTGGACAGTGATTTGCACACAACTGCCACTTTGTCTTGCTTATGCAACTACTTTTCATAGCTGTCAAGGGCTCACCCTTGATTAAGACAGTACTAGACTGTCACACTGATGTCTTCTCTCATGGCCAGCTATATACTGCATTGACCCATGTGCATACATGAGCTGATAGCCTGATTTTTGTCCCCCAAAATTGGGACTTCACAGTTGCAAACATTCAGAGCAGTCAACTCATGTTGCCCTTTGTACCTATATAGCATATGGAATTCAGCTGCACACACATGTTCATTCACTGCCTTGCTCACGCGCAGTGCACTCTAAATTAGGGTCCTTGTCTTGAAGTCAAGGCGAAGACGAGTACTCTCGTCTTGAATGTCTCAAAGCCTCTGACGATCGTGCAAGCTGTGTTATTCATCCATACGCCCATTGACGGTGACGGCAAGCAAGTCCAGTCTGCCAGTAATATCAATATTGACGCGAACTTGGAACGTGCAACGATCACATTCGAGAAATCGGTATCTGCAGGAACGACCGCGAGGCTAGGACTAACATTCCATGGGCTTCTCTCGTGCGATGATTACCATATGTACGTTTTCGTCGGACTCACAGTCTACTAGGGACTCTTTGACCGGATACTACAAGTGCAACCATGATTACGAAGGGACGAGAGCTACGTACGCCGTTACACAGTTCGAACCTACTGCCGCTAGAAAGGCGTTCCCGTGCTGGGATCAACCGGCTTTCAAGGCTCGATTCGACATCACCATGATCTCCCGCTCCGGAACTGTCAGTCTGAGCAACATGGATGTCGCGGCTACCCGCAAGGTAACCGACTCGACGCTGTCAAGTGTTGTCTTTCCGAGCATTCAACTTGGATCAAAGTCGGGAGAATGGACTGCAACGACGTTCTCCACCACCCCGAACATGTCAACCTACCTGGTCGCATTCGCCAATGGTCCCTTTGAGTTCCTCGAACGGATCCACACGTCGGCCATCACCGGAAAAGATACTATTATGCGCGTCTATACTACGAAGCAGCACATTTCACAAGCTCGTCTCGCACTGGACGTTACCGCTCGCGTCTTACCCATGTACGAGGAGATCTTTGACATCCCGTATCCTCTTCCTAAATTGGACACTCTGGCTGTCGACGACTTCGACTTCGGGGCAATGGAGAACTGGGGACTCATGATCGGCCGCACAGATGCTTATCTGTACGATGAAGAGAAGGATGGTCTGCGTACGAAGCCGATCGTGACGCGCGTCATCGCCCATGAGGTGGCCCATCAATGGTTTGGCAACATCGTGACAAGGAAATGGTGGGATAACCTGTGGCTTAACGAGGCTTTTGCTACGCTGATGGGCGACCTGATTATTCTTCGGAGAGTTCGTCCTTGTTTCTTATACTGTGTGGCGTCCATCTGACGACCGTTTCAGCTGCACCCAGAATGGCATGCGGATCGTGGGTTCATCCATTCCCATATTAGCGCCGCGCTTTCTCTCAACGCCTTGCGCTCTTCCCACCCGATAGAGGTACCGTGTCCTGAAGAGAAGGCGATCAACCAAATCTTTGACAATGTCTCATATTCAAGTATGATGTTCTACTCGCCAGCGCATATAACGAGCTAACAATGCCCTTAGAGGGGGCTTCTGTCCTGCGCATGCTCTACTCTATGATTGGAGAAGATATGTTCTTCAAAGGAGTCTCCGCATATCTCAAGGCTCACCTTTATGGAAACACCTTAACCGCCGATCTGTGGCAAGGCATTACGACAGCAAGCGGAGTGGATGTCGAGGGCCTTATGTCCAATTGGGTCCTTAAGGTCGGGTTCCCGTTGATCACGGTTGAAGAGACCCGGACCGGTATACACGTCAAACAGAATCGATTCCTAGCTACGAACGATGTCAAACCAGAGGAAGACACGACGATCTGGCATGTGCCGTTGAATATCCGAACGGTCAGGAATGCTGTGATAACGCAGTCATCTTGAAAGAGCGGGAGATGACGTTTGATATACCCAACGTTGCAGGCTCTCTGTACAAGCTGAATTCGGGAACGATCGGACCTTGTAAGTGCGCGTATTGGATATCCTGAATATCACTCTTATCCTTTATCAGATCATGTTCTCTATTCTGAAGAACATCTTGCCAGGCTCGGGGATGAAGCCGCCCGAAAACGCACCTCGCTTTCTCCCACAGATCGCCTCGGCCTCGTCACCGACGCGTTTGTGCTTGGCCGTGCAGGGTACAGCAGCATGACCGCCGCCCTAGACCTGATCAACAAGCTGCGTGATGATGACGACTATTTCGTATGGGCCCAGATCGCCTCGGCCCTTATCACGGTTCAGGAATCATGGTGGGACGAGCCGAAGTCTGTTCGTGATAACCTGAAAGCCTTCGTTCGGTCGTTATTCGGCCCGTTGGTGAAGAAACTTGGATTCGAGTCGTCGCCTGACGACCCGCCTGAGCTTATACGCTGGCGGTCCACTGCTATTCGCGGCGCTTCCAGTGGGGAGGATCCTGAGTAGGTCTCTAGCTACTTGTGAATCCGACCAGCTGACTCCAGTAGGACAATGAAACAGATCCAGGGGCGGTTCTCGCTCCTCGTCGAGTCAGATGATTCATCCCTGATCCCAGCAGACCTCGAAACGACGATCTTCTGTGGCGCAGTAGCAAAAGGTGGGGAACGGGAGTGGGCCAAGGCGCGGGAGATGTACCGCCGTCCGAAGACGCCCTCTGAGAAAACAGCGGCGCTGTTTGGGATGTGCGCCCCCGAGGACCCCGCGTTGTTGCGCAAGACGCTCGATCTGATACTCACGGACGAGGTGAAAACCCAGGGTAGGCATTCTAGGCTGGTGTGATAATGTGACGCCGTCGCTTACGGGACACCAGACTATGCGGCCTTCTTCTCAGGGCTCTCTAATAACCCGGAAGGCATCCGGCTGCTGTGGGCGTACTTCCAGGAGAACTATGACACCCTCGTTCAGCGACTTGATGGGAGCCATTCGTTCAACCTGCTTGTACAGGCTAGCTTTAGCTCCTTTGCGCGGGAGGAAGACGCCAGAGCTGTGGAGCGGTTCTTTGAGGGGAAGGAGACGGAACAGTACAAGCTTATTCTTGCCCAGGGTTTGGAGGAAGTGAGGAGCCGTGCGCAATGGTTGGCGCGGTCTCGGGAAGAGGTGGATCAATGGTTGAAAGTGAATGGTCATGAGTAATGCAGAACGCATTTGTAAGGCTCTGCCCGTTTGTTCTCCATTGTTCAACAATTGATTTCTCAGTGAATGATGAACAGCCAGTTGGGGCTGCGGGGGTCATGCCAAAGGGAGGCTTGGGATAAGTCCGTGTGCCGAGGCCGATGCCGCCATGGCCGGCGGATCGGCCAACACCGGAAGCGCCCATCGAGGAATCTAGATCACACAGCCACTCGTATTCATATTTTGTCGGCTCTCGTCCTTTCCACCAAGAGCGGCGGAGTACATTAATCTTTACAAGGAGACCTTTGCACAGCCAGACTTGTTACAAGCCATTAATCTGTTGTTGTCACTCAAGTAGTACAACATACATGCACTTTGACTATCGGAAGCCTACACATTTCTAGAAAGGACTCTTCGGTGGTACATGACGGGCACAACACCCATACCTATACGAAATGAACGCGCACTTCTCCTCCCGCGTCGACCGAGTGCACGCAGCTACACTCTCACTAATACAATCAAAAAGACGCACTTGGACAATGTCCGTGTCTTGCTCGCTTTCTTCCTTGAGCTCCAGATTGGCATGGCAGAAGCCGCCCTGGGCTCCCTATTGGAGTCGATGCAGCTCGCCTATGGGCTAAGCTACCGCGCTGTGGGCTTCGTCACGCTTGTCGATGCCCTGGGAAGGGGCGTCGGCACCGCATCTGCGCCATTTGCAGTGCACTCCTTCGGCCTCCCGTTACTTCTCTACGTACGTGTTTCCCTCTTCCCTCCGCTCCCCGTGCTCACATACCCAAAGGGCTCCAGCGCGCTTCTCGCACTCTCATCTACTCTCCCCCTCTTCGCCCCTCCGTGGGCAGTCGTACTTCTCTCCATCGCCCTCACCGGCTTAGCGAGCGGCGCGCTAGAACCCGCCCTAGCAACGTACATCGCGCACTTCCACGCGCCCGCGCTCATGTCCTTCGTCTTCGCTGGCGAGGGGCTGGGCGCACTCATCCAGCCTTTCCTGGTGAGCGGTCTCATCGTAAGAGAATGGGAATGGGATGTGTATTTCTGGGTGCCTCTCGCGCTCGCTCTGCTTGATCTCCCCCTCGTGTGGATGTTGTTTGGCGATTATAAGAGCCCGAAACACGAGGATGGCGCAGAACAGAACAGCGTTAAAAGGTGGCTGAAAGTAGCCATAAACCCCGTCGTCATCTGCGGCGGGATACTTCAGGCTCTCGTACGTCTTCCCCCTAACTAGCAAGATTAGTACTCACCAGCGTCCAGGCCTACTCAGCAGAAGACATAATAACAACCTGGATCGGCGTGTTCATGTGCGACATCCGAGGCGGTCCACCCGCGAGGATGCAGTACGTCCTCACCGGCTACTGGGCGGGACAAGCGCTCTCCCGTACCTTCCTTGCCGACCTGGCACGGCGCTACTCTCCCCGGTTCCTGCTCACCTTCTACCTACTGATAGGGACGACGATGCTCGTCGCCCTGCAAGCGTCGGACAGCATCCTCGCCGACGGGATACTTGTCGCTCTCTTCGGGTTCTTCCTAGGCCCAGCAATCCCGACGGTCATAACGACCGTATGTGCGCATCTCATCCCATCGCAGGTCGACAGCGCGACGTCCGTGCTGCTCACGGCTGGCGTCCTAGGGTCGGGGGGAGCGCCGGTCGTAGTAGGGTTCGTGAACTCTGCTGGAGGACTGAGGTGGATGCCACTGGCGATGATCCTCTGCCTATTGGCGACCGTAGGCGTGTGGGAAGGGTTTTGGACTGCGGGGTGGATGGATTTGCCTGAGGAGAAGGAGGGGGAATGTGTGGGCGAAAGGGGAGGAGGACGAGGATAGGACCGAGGTGGGCGAGGTGGTCGTGGAGGTTGACAGTGAGGATGGGACGGATTATGGGAGTTTGGAGGAGGGGAAATGAGGGACGGGTGGAGGGGAAGGAGGCTAAGCAAACGATATCATGACCAAATCCATTGTAGCATATCCATCCAGTACATCGAATCTACATATCATCTGTTTGTGTTCAGATACGTGCAGTATCTCCAAGCAAGGTGCAATAATGGGACGATCACCGAGAAACATGCACGTGCAGACAGGCGGCGTGAGCATGCGTTTCTTACGAACAGATCCAGGCATTCGGCACTCTCTGTCTCGCTGATCGGCCCGACCTTGATCCTTCCGCACATCCAGAGGCCACACCCGCCAGTCCGCCAGCGGCCGGCTATACGGACACGGAGACATGAGGCGCAGAATACCGCTGTGCGAGGTGGTGTATTACCTGTTCTAAGTAGTGAATGGGAGGGTATTCGATGGACCGAAGCTAGAATAGGAGGATAAACCTCGTTAGCGTTGCGCCTCGCTCACCCGTCCGTTTCGACATGACAAGAATATTAATAACGTGCATCTAAAAGCGGTAACCTAATTGGACGGTGTATCATCCACCCGAGGTCTGTGAGCCAATCGCGTGGTGTCCTTCTGACTCCTTCCGACAGGTCGGACCCAAGGTTCACGTGACTGTCATTTTGCTAGAGGGCGCAAGGGAATTGACCCGGATGAATGGCTCTGTATGGTCAACCTCCGTTGGCCGAGGCCTGCTCAACTGCAACTTCTCCGCACGGAGAGAAGGGGAGGGAACTCGGCCCGCATCTATGCTGGAGGACAGGTGGGCCGAATACCGAACATTGGACACAAGGGAAGGGGGAAGGGAGAAACAGGCCATCCGTTGACAGTTGACGACCATCTTTCACCTCTTCACCTCAACCGACCATGTCAGACGGCGTCGAGATGTGCGTAATTTACTTTCTTTCCTGCTACGACTCATAGCGTATAGACACCCTACGTTGCGCCCTAATGAGCCGCCAAAGGATGCCATCCTCAATCGCATCTCGAGGCAGGTTACGCTCGAAAAACAGCGTGGGAGTGCCCAGGCCATGTGTATGTCCATCCCCGCGTTGTACTCTCACTCTGCAAGGACGATCTGACAGGGAACAGTGTATGCCGTGGGACTGCAAGAGGCGGACATGCAGAAACCGCAGATTGGGATCTCCCCCATCTGGTGGGAAGGCAATCCGTGCAACTCGCACTTGGTGCGTCTTCCACATTCTTACCTGTACATTTGGAGCACGAGCTAACCTAGCACAGCTCGACCTCGCCAAGGCTGTCAAGGAGGGATGCCAGGCTGAGGGCCTTGTTGGGCTGATGGCCAGTACTGTTGGCATTTCGGACGCGATCACTATGGGTACTGATGGGATGCACTATTCGCTCCCTTCGAGGGACCAGATCGCTGATACGATCGAGTCTGTCAGTCTTCCCTTCCCTATTTACTCCATGCTTGTTGTGCAGTTGCTGATTCTGTGATCCTGGTCAGATCACCATGGGCCAATTTTACGACGGTAACATCTCCCTCCCCGGGTGTGACAAGAACATGCCTGGCTGTACGATGGCCGCTGTGCGCCACAACAGGCCCACGATCATCGTTTACGGGGGCACGATCCAGACTGGTGTACGGCACGTCGACTGTCCTTGGCAGGGGAAGAAGAAAGGCGAGAGCGTGAATATCAGCGATACGCTCGAAGCGTGGGGTGCGCATCTCTTCTCCCCTCACTGTATATTATTGCTGAGCAAGCTGACGTATATGCATTCCAGGCGCGTACGAAACTGGAAAGATGAACGACGAAGAGTACTTCGATATTGTTCGTTATGCCTGTCCTGGGCCGGGAGGGTGCGGAGGCATGTACACCGCTAATACCATGTCGACGTCGCTCGAAGTCATGGGTATCTCCCTGCCCTACTCTGCCTCTACGCCTGCTGTCTATCCCGGTATGTCCCCGGAGCTCTAGAGATACTATCCGGTACTGACCCGCCCGCAGAGAAGAAACGCGAGTGCATTATGGCCGCCAAGTACATGAAGAACCTACTCGCCCTCGACCTCAAGCCGCGGGACATCATCACGCGCAAAGCGCTCGAGAACGCCGTCACACTCGTGCACGTCATCGGCGGGAGCACGAACGCCGTTCTGCATCTCCTCGCGATCGCCCGCTCTGCCGACGTGCCGTTCACGATCGACGATTTCCAGACGATTGGCGAGCGGACGCCGTACCTTGCCGACCTGAAGCCGAGCGGGAAGTACTATATGGAGGACTTGCACAAGGTCGGTGGGATCCCCGCGCTCCTCAAGTACCTCCTGAAGAACACGAACCTCCTGCACGGAGACTGCATCACCGTCACGGGAAAGACCCAGGCGGAGAACGTCGCCCATGCCCCAGACTTGGACTTTGAGAAACAGGACGTTGTCCGCCCGCTTGAGAAGCCCCTCAAGCCCACGGGGCATATCACCATCTTGAAAGGCAACTTGTGCCCCGACACGGCGGTGGCGAAGATCACGGGCAAGGAGGGGCTCAAGTTCGAGGGTCATGCGCGAGTGTTTGACCAGTGCGTAATCTCTATTCTCTGCTTTCCCGAACCGCACTGACGCATACATGCAGCTTGGACGACTTCTACCCCGCCCTGCACAGAGGCGACATCACCGCCGGCAGCGTGTGTATCTTCCGCTACCAAGGGCCCAAGGGCGCGCCCGGCATGCCGGAGATGCTCGGTCCCACAGGGGCGCTGATGGGCGCCGGCCTGGGAGGGAAGACAGCGCTCATCACTGACGGGCGATTCTCGGGCGCCAGTCACGGGTTCATCATCGGCCACGTTTGTCCCGAAGCGTTCTTGGGAGGACCGATCGCGCTCGTCAAGGATGGCGATAGCATCGTCATTGATGCGGAAAGGAAGGTTATCGATTGGGGTGTGAGTAAGGAGGAGGAAGAGAAGAGGTACGAGGAGTGGAAGAAGAACGGACCGAGGGAATTCAAGGTTAAGAGAGGGGTGCTGTACAGGTATGCGAGGGATGTTGCGGTATGTGTATCTTGCCTGGTTGGTGTAGAAAACGTGCTGATGTGTCGCGAAGCCGGCGAATGTGGGCGCGTATACGGATTGAACGACGGTTGTGGGTGTACGCAAGTCGCAAATAAACAATGGTTCTACTCGACGTCTTCCAACTGCGTGTGTCCTGCCCCCGTGGTATCTGCTTGTTCTGCTCAGGCCTCTCGAATACTGGTTTAGCTCGGCGACGCTTCCAGCCAACTGCTTGTCTTGGTCGATCCTGCGCAGACTTTGATAGCATTCAAACTAGCAATCATTCTACTCGATGTCTTCGCGCTGTTTGGGTGTCCTGAAGACACACGAGCAAAGGACAACGAATCTGCCTGCGGATGCCCGCGACTATGCAGGGCTTGTTCTGCGGGTGCCTATCCGAAAATAGCTCTCTTTCCCAGGAGCAATAGTGTCATCGGACTATGTTCTGAAGCTCAAGTCCCTGGATTACTGTTTCTCCTCTGTATAGTATCAGTTGAGCACTCTGTGCGTCCTCTCGAATGCTGTGTGTGGCGCTCTCGATCCCACCTCTCCATCGGATACTGTACCTCATTTCCGCTTGGGATATTGATTTGCGGAAATTGCCGACGCCGCCGACGTCGCCGAACTCAACGACTCATCACCAGGGTTTCATTAGAACACATGATGTCAACTCGCTTGATTTGAATATTTCTCCTCGCGATAGTAGAACCGTGTCGACGGGGCTATGGATTGATTAAGATTCATGTGCGGGCGCTGTCCACATCAACAACTCTGTTTAAATAAATCATTTGACCGTTCCTGGCGTTTTGAAACACCCCGCATCTTCGTTCATGGAAACGTTGACCGGCTCATGCCTCGCCGACTATTATTCTTTATCCCTTCGTTTCATCCCTTTCATACTGTTCCAGACACCTCGTGATCCTCAGGTCGTCGCTCTCACGATCGCAATATTCAAATTCGCGTGCTGCTTGACTAACACCCCACGCCCGGAAGTACCTGCGGATAAAAGCGCACAGCATCTCCTGTCGGTACCTATTCGTCTCCGATGCAAAGAAACTGTCATCTCTCTTTCAAATCCATTCTCATCGTCGGGCAAGTCCGTAATAAAGATGCTGAGCGGGAAGGCGGTCGCTGCATGCATCGCCTTGTCATTATGGAGAGCTCTACTAATTCCCCTATCACTTGACACGATCGGAGCCTTTATAACCCTCTTGCGCTGCTCAAGAAGCCTGAGTGTCCAGGGAAAGTAACGTAAGCGATCAAGAGATCGGCGTCGTGGGCGTGATACTCGGGGATTGTGCGAAGACCGATACAGACAGAGCCCACAGGAAAGATTATCGAATCTCTAAGATGAGCGTTACCACATGTAACAAGTTTACGAAAGTGAACGTGGGAGGGATATATGCAATCGCAAAGATATCACTTTCATCCAAGGAAGTCTGATCTCAAACCCTTCCACAGAGTAAGGTGTTTCAGTTTGCGGAATCTGCTTGAAAGAAACAGGCCTGAAGCGTGATGACCAAAATTGTTCGATTGCTTCAAACTCCTGAAACGACTAACAGAACCGCTGAACTTGTAGCTTTTGTATTCCGCTCATACCGGGGCACTTTAGGGTAGCAAATATCCTAATGATTGTCGGCTTGCTCTGCAGTTAAACTGAGAATGAGGGTATCGACATGGTTGAATGGCGTTTATAGAGTACCGAGTGAATCGCAAATTGGACCAAGCACCTGTAAAACGATACACTGATCAGATGACTCTGGACTAATCAAGAATGCGGACACATGTACGACCGGCTGCTGAGCTGGTATTACCCACATCTGTGATGTTAAAGATCCGAGAGCAATCTTCGAGGACGACACGACAGCACTCGCCCGGAACAAGAGCGATCAGTCCGGAAATCTGTCTCGGAAGATTGTCAGCAGTCACCAGATGTTGACAAGCAAGCAGCGTTCGTTTAGTCGTCACATGGCGGTGACCGATGCTATCGGTCCAAGAGGACTCACACCTGTTCTGTGTACCACACGTTTGGGTGATCTAAAGCTGGCGATGAACAAAAAATCAATCCATCAATCTGAATGATCACACAAGAGGGCCACCTTTATTTTGTTGACAATGCATTTTTTGATGAAACCGAATACGTAGTAGCGCCTTCGGTCCGAGGGTGGTCCGCCTCCGGTACCGAATAGCGGACGTCCGGCGCCCGTCAATATTTGAAACCCCTTTGCATCAGTCTGCTTGAACCAGGTGCTTTTAGCTCGGGGATTCCACTCGCCGGAGAGCTAATGTGGCACTAACCGTCTCTGCCTGACTCCGAGCTGTCGAAAACTGACTGGCGCGTCTGATACAGATGATCGCATGGCTAAGGCAAAAGTAAAACTGTACATTGCAACGGCCGTTTCGTGACTCAGGTGAACCCAGGAGAACAACCCTTGACAACGATGAGCTCATAGACACTCACACATGCGCCTTTTCCATCCAAAGGCACCGCCTAATGTGGACCAGCCAGGGGTTAACAACGTCCGTTCTACAGAAGCTGCCGGTACCGGCTCACCGCCACGTTACGACATCAACCAGTTCTTCGCACCGCCACACTTAACTCTGCTTCTGACGACATATCAAATTACCCACATCACTTATTTCTGCCTTGATATCAAACTCATCAGAACGAATTGTCGTTGCGCCGTATCAAGGGAAGTGTGCTGTCTTGTGGCCGATTCATAAGCCATGTCTCAAATCGGGCGGACACACAAGCGTATGCTGTGCACGGCTACGACACATCCGTCGGCATTCCCGCGGAGTGCATAACGTCCTTAGTGCGAGCATTGGATATAGTCCCCCTCGAGGGCCGGAAGAGTACGTTGAGGCCCTCAGGGCGATGACCAAGGCTTCCTGAACATTTTCCAGCAGTCTCTCCTCTCCATCTTTTTTGCGCGTGCCATACATATGCGAGGCTTGTTGATCATATGACAACTGGGCCGTCCAACTTCACGGCCAGTCCATATTTCCCTAACGCGGTGATTCTTTACCTGCTGTTTTGCCGCATGGTGGGTGAGCACAGCGCTCCCCGCCAATCAGTATGGCCAGTCATAGGAATGACTCCTACCTGAAGAGAAAGGTACGATGCTCCAGAAAATACCCAGCAAAACTGATATTGACCGTGTATATAGATGTCCACCACATTTTCACACGGAGGCATGTAATCTTCGACCCTGTTCCGGTATATCATACTCACATATGAAACTAGGTATCGACATGAAGCTGAAGCTAGGAACACCGGTAAGTCCGTCTCCCGAAATCCGTACTTTGTGGCAGCTGAAAGGCAGTCAGAATCAATATTTAGTGTTATCCCGTTGTACGGCGACGAGACCACAAGTTCCTGACATGCCAGAAGCTATTCAATATTGCAGTGCCACAACAGAGGGGACTACACCCCTGCTAACTGTTCGAGTTGCGTCAACCAGCATTGCAGATGGTCTACCAATTGTGGGCCTGGGGGCTCTAATCTCGGGTGACGTGACTGTCATGATCCAGAAGGATCACAAGTTCAAGGATATCACAGTCCGCTTGCGTGGGGCTCTCGTTAACCCCCAAACCAACAAATCCTACTTTCTTGATCTGGGGCATTCTCTGGTTCCTCAATGGTCGGGTCTTGTGTCGATGTACAAAGCGGGACGACATATACTGCCATTTCGAATTCCTATTCCCCAAACCTGCAACATGCTATACCCAGAGTCGGCTTTGCCGCCAACATTCTACTCCAGAGGACAGCCTGTGACCATCCGATATGACGTCACAGCACGAATAAAGAAGCCGGGTCTCTGGGCCGACGAGCAGTGAGTGTTCGACGATTCTCTCACTAGAATAATCTGACTGGTTCTCGAGAGCGACTCTGCAGATACTATATCTTCCTCGGACCAGACCAGTGGACACTGTCCCTCTTGATAGCCTTGACTTTGGCTTTTGTCGCTATCAACTCCAGCAAGCATCTGAGATGTTAACATGGGCTCAATGCAGTAAGCAATTTAGCGCGGCTATCGATGGTCAGAAGACCGTGATATTCGACTCTTCCGTGAGGATTGTGTGACCGAAGACATTTTTGGTTCTGATACCGATTTTAGTTTTGTCTCGCCAATGCCCCTGTCTATGCTAGAGGCATTTTCGTATCCTACACGCTCTCTTTGGAGTGCTGGGATGCACCAGCACTAGACCGGATCGGCACACCTCAAGCCGTTTCTGTGTCAATTGTGCGACAAATAACTGTTGATACTCCAGGAGGTTTCTCAGGAATTGGGACCTCAACTGGAAAGCCAGAAAAGGTGACGAACATGGTAGGCGTGGGACGACATTGGATCGAGCCTGTCGGAGACCAATTTCCGAAGCGCGTCTTACGAGGAGAGGTCTCTCTCGGGAAAGACCTGCAACCTCATTTCCACTTCCCACCACTCTCAGTGATTGTAAGTGATTTATGGACACCGGATTGCAGCTGGTCTAATACTTTACGATAGTATGGTGTTGTTGTGCAGCTTCGTGCCGAGGGATTCGCCATAACCAACAAAGCTGATGATTATCTTTTCGCAATGCCTATTGGGATTACCACCGACCTCCCCAGGAAAGTCACACGAGCAGCATGAACAGTCACGAGTTATATCTAGGACAAATCGGATTCCCCAAGCGCACATACCCATATGTATGACTAGAGGTCTCAAAAGCAATATACTTTGTAGATTTGTTGTGCAATATCAGTGAACTTCTCTGAACCCGTTTGTGAGCAGTCATTGGATCCAGTCTTTGGCTCACGTACGCATACCTGTGCAAAGCGAAGGCCTGCCGTTCGGCTTTTCATGTGTACAGATAGAGAAAGATGAATACTCTTTCGACCAAGACATTCATCCCTTGGTCATGTCCTTGATTGGCTCGAAGGGAATCCACCCCCGTCCAGACAAGCAGGGCATATCGATTTATGCTGCAGGATCAAAACTCAGGGAATGGCAGCAAAGCATGTGACATATGGACGCACATTTCAGATCCAGGTATCACCAGCCCGTGAGAAATAATTGGACGGCGGTCCCTCTTCGTCCATTCCGATGAGCACGGCAGTCGGTGCACATATTATGGTTCCGCCTGATGTTGTTTTGCCCATGCCCCAACAATTTGATCAGACATTGCAGACGAATTCCAAAGCAGCTAGGGCCGCGCCGCGCCGCGAGTAGATAGAGGCCTGGTTCTTTGAGCAGCCAATCCGATGACGAGTCGGCCAGAATTGCCTTGACGAGGAAGTCCTGTATACATGATCAATCGAATCACACTATTCGGACGGCCAAGACACGACCACACCATTTCGTCCAGTACACATATTATCTTTAGTCAAAGCGCAGGTCATTCAGCGGAAGACATCATTGATCAGAACACGGTCGCACCCCCCCCTTCGACTGTACAGCTTTACGTTGGTGGGAATCGGGAGAAGCGCAGATGTTCGTTACCTCATGGGGTGCAGAGTCTTCGGGAATTAATCCCACGTGGCTAACTTGAAGGGCCGATACGCGTGCTTGTGCATTTGAAGCGTCCCGTGGCGCCCCCTTGGCCAGTGGATCCTTAAGTTTGTACAACTTGTACATATTTGGACTTTCTAATTATCTAACGCCCAACTGGCCTTCGGCTCTCCCTTCATGGAACCTGTATTCTAGCTAAACCGGTTGAGCTTTTCCCCGTGGTCCGGTCATGGATGGAGCCGCAATTCGCGTCTCGACATGCCAGGAGCATGTCATTCCCTTTAATTTGTGAGGGAACGTCCCTTCCACTCGTAACGTGTGGTGCTAACAGTGGACGTCAGCTTTGCTCGCCTTATCGAAGAGTTTGCGAAGGTCAAGCCGCAAAGGGCCACTCAGTGTTCAGCACCCTGCAGTTTCAGGAAACACATTGATGTATTGGACTCTTGGATCGCAAGGCTTGATCGACCATTGCCACCAGGCACAGGCGCGGTTCTGTTTCGTTTACTATTTCCATGCGAAGATAAAGACAGAAAGTACAACTTGCAGGAGAGTAAACTCTCCCGTTTGTTGGCGGATATCTTCGTCGTGGATGTTGGATCCGGCAAGCGGGGGCATCGGCTTTCCACCTGGCAGGACTCAGACGAGGGCTGCCTCGGACGTGAGGTACAAATGATTCTCATGGAAGTTTATGTATGATGTTTTGCTGTGCAATTATCAGCAGCTGACGTATGACCAGAGCGGTGAAGACCATCCGACCAACCCGACAATACATGAAGCTGATTCTTTATTGGAGGAATTGGCTGCGACCTCGCCGTGGTCCAATATCAAGTTCTCAACGCCTTCACCTCAACGACGTTCAGCTAAGCGGATCCTCTCCGACTTATACCGGGATCTCACTCCTTTCGGAGCGGCGGTGATGACCCAGGTCTTGCTTAAGGACCTTCGCCCCTTGGCGTATCCCCAACCGGCAGCAAGCATGTCCGCCTCGCTGATTGATTTCAATTCCAAGGCCTACGAGGAAATTACGCCGCACATGGCTATGCGGGCTTGGCATCCGAAAATGTGCTACCTATACAAGACGAACAGTAAACTGGATGCTGTCGCCGATGCCGTTGAGAAGTTGGAATCATGGGAGGCATCTGTCCAACCGGGGATCCGACTCGATCCATTTTCGCCAATGGTCGGGGTTCCCGTAGAGGTATGTATGGAGTTCCACTTTTTCGTCTTGATTCTAATATTACGAAAGATTGCCAAGTGCGTTCAAGGCCATTCGTACAGTTATGCTCTCAGCCGGCTTGTCGGGTCAGAACGGGTGTACGCCGAAACGAAGTACGACGGGGAACGGTATATGACATGTCTTTTGTGACAGATCAATCGCTGATCCTATCCAGGATGCAGATACATGTGGATTTTTCCCAGCCAGCTAGTTCGCAAATCCGAATTTTTAGCAAGAGCAAACGCGACAGCACGCAAGACCGCATCGCCACGCACAGGTGAGTGCTGAACAAATCATATTGTCCTATTCTCAGGCATGTATCAGTATCATCCGAGCCTCTTTAGGGATACACCCTGGAAGCAAGGCACATGAGAAACTGTTGGAGCGTCTTGGATCAAGCACTGCAAGAACATCTGTCATACATTCCGCCATTCTGGAAGCAGAAATGGTAGCCTATTGTGAGCTGTCAGCCGATATTGACAGTGCGTACCACGGTCCCCCCCATGCTGTGCCCTTATACTCCGTCATCAGAATTCTGGCGCATTCGAGGTATCCTCGGAGCTACTGCCCGGGGTGTGCGACGAAGGGCCCCTCGCAAGGCTAAATACGATTCTGATATATCCGACAGCGAGGACGAGACCCGCTTCGAGTTTTCTGAAACGTACGCTTCCCTTTTGACTGGGTCTTCAAGTTCTGCCTTATGAAGGAGATTAGTCAAGATTCACTGGTATCGAACGGCACCGCTTCCGAAACCCGCCACTTCATGCTCGTCTATTTCGATATTCTACAACTCAATGGAACAAGCTTGTTGAGAAGACCGTACGAGCATCGAAGATTCGTGTTGAAACAGGTCATTGCTCCTGTAACTGGATTTGTGGGTCATGCTATCAGATTCCGACTTGAGACTCATTTGCTCATAGACTCGAATTGCGCGGTCTCTAACAATAGGCCTAGGTGGATCACAATCTTCTGCTTCGCTGGAGGTGTGTAGTTGCCAAAACACTCCGTTGCTGTGCTTGAGCGTACTTCCAGCGATTGCAACAACACTTTAGGCGGGAGACAGAAGAATACAAAGAAGGTACTTTGGTCCAAATCACTGGTGTCATGTGTCCCTTACACCGATGGGATAGAGGGCATTGTTCTGAAAGCAGGAGAGTCTGTGTACAATGACTATCAAAAGCCATGGATCAAGGTATGCAGATGTTGATTTCTTTGGCATCCTTCCTTAACCATGAGCCCTTGACAGATCAAGCGCGACTACATCAGAGGATATGGTGGTAAGAGGACCGCCTCGCTACTACAGATATGTGCTGAGGAGAGCTTCAGATACCCTTGACTTTGTCATCCTTGGCACTGGATGGAGCAAGGAACGCGGTCGAGAACTCAGAGGTGAGACTATCGTTATGGGGTATGCATAGCTTGATATTTCCCTCTGAAGTGGGCCCATCGGTTAACACGACCTTTCATGTGGGTTGTGTCACGAACATGGCGGAAGTCAAACTTCAAGTGAAAACTATTTCGCGAAATATCCGCTCGCACTGACGATCTACAGCGATCTGTTCGACCCCATTTTGAGGTGTACTTCACTGTTGAATATGGATTTTGCCGAGACTCCGATTGCACGTTGGTCGACCTCATTCAGTGACACATTCTCAACCCTCGAAGCATTTTTCATTGCGTGTGGCTGGTGTGCGGAACGAACACTGCCCATACGGAAAACCTTTCGCCATGGCGTCGTATTTATTAATTATTCTCAATCCCACACGATCATCGATACCCTCAGAACAATGCAATACGATCTTCAGCAACGGAATAGCGATGTACGACTACGGCTCTTAGTGTGTATGCCGGAGGAACTGGAGGCCAGCGCCGGGAATGAGGAACATGTATTACGACCATTGTGGGTGTCTGACTAGCACGCATTCATATCATTATGGTCCACTCTAATAAATATTCGCACGTTCAACAATGACTCATTTCGTTGGTCTAGCGTTGTGGACGTTCAATGATTGACATTATCTGAAAAAGAGAATACGGTCGTGGTTCAACCAATTTGCATATCACTTCTTATTCTTTCAATGAATCAACAAGAAGACTTCCATGCGAACCCATTTACATGCCTCTCAAATAGATCAACACAACGCAACCTTATGTGTTCAGCCTAAAACCCACAATCCAACAAGAGCCGACGCAGAAAGACAAACCGTACTGAAAATACTCACGTAGCCTGGCAAGAACACCCACATGTAGGCCAGTATTCCCAGGATGGCAAGGACGAACCCGACCAGGGTGATCCCAACACATGCAGAATTCACTGCTGTCAGATCCATTGGCAACTTGGGAATCCCGTGCGTGCCTTGAGACTCGATGTTTGCGCTTTGCATCCCTGTCCTCCGTGCACTGAAAGAGAAGGGATGAAGTCGTGTCACGCTGATGTAGTTCGCATCGACATGCGGAGAGGCGAGAGTCGGATTGGTGTGCCTATTGAAGTTGGCTTGGTAGCCAGGAAAACCGCTTATTTTCTCTTCGGTACTTGCGTCGCTCAGTTCGAATCGATAGAGCGCGAAACATGCGAGGTAGGAGATGATAGCTGTGGGCACTGATGAGTACTCGAGGTGAACGATGGGAGTAAATATCCAACACACCTGCCATCCAGTGAAGAATCATCGCACCCGCCATGCTGGTTACCGCAATCCGATGCCAAACCTCAGCACTGGAATTGGTGACAACAGAAGCAGCAGCATAAGAGAGCAATTGGCTGTCGATGCCGGCAAAGAATGTGGTCTAATAACCCCGTCAAGTGAGCAAGAACTCCTGCCCAACTGTGAAAAACGTACAATTCCGCTCATCAAGCTCATCCGGCTCAGCCAAATATTGACAAGGGATAGAATCGCCTGGCGCATGGCTTCCGTCTCATGAGGGCTACTGGGTTGGGTAGCATGGGACATGACCCGAGATGCACTTTGCTTGCCGCTCCCACCGCCTCCGCCATTGCGGATAGTTGATCCCACGGTCGCCCCAGTCAGTTCAGCTTGATGGGAAGGACGCATGTCGCTTTTGCGTAAGGTGGAGAATCCACTGAACGTGAGGGGGCTGCCGTTGTAAGGGGGGAAACGGTCCGATGGGTTGGAGCGGACTGCAGGTCACGTCAATCAAGTCGAGCCTTATAAAATATGTGGGGAAGAACACACTGGATGACATCTTGCGCCTTCACGTGCAGCACAACCGAAACTGGAGGATGAGGGAAGACGTTGGAGCATAGAAGCAGGGAGAAGATATCGTCTTTTGGGGGGTATGGTTTCCCCTATCCCTTTGCGAGATCATCGTCCGCAGTTCTCCTATCTCACAGAGAGGAGTCAGAAACGTCTTGTTGAGGTCAGCTATAGAAGCTCGATTTCAGACCGCGTGCTGCCATGTTAAAGGGGAGGGCGGGGTTACGGGAATACAGAGTCCGAAAAGGGGCACAACGCCTTGACCAAAAGGAATGGTTGTGTTCAAGAAAAAGCACACATATGGATGTCACGTTACTGTAAAAGCGCATATTGGGGATAAGTAACCTGCCTGAACTCGTGGAATGCGCAACGGACATACCTGACTTCTCAATGACAAACTTTGATTCGCAAAAATGCAGAATTATCTCCCCTTTTCCGAGACACGTGATCGACATCGGCGGAGAATGGCAGATTGGTTAAAGGACAATCACTGTCCATGAATAAGATCAGCGAGCTGGTAAAAAAAAGCCAATCGCTGTTCGATGAATCGGCATCGTCGTCGAATTTTCGGATTGTCTGCGTGGAGCTTCCTGATTGGTGCGTCCACGCCTTCTCCTGCTTCGGCTTCTCCTGAGTTCTTCTCCCATCATGTCGGCGAGCACAAGTATTCCGGCTGCACAGAGCAATCTCAGCTCCGATTTGGACTAACGTGAATATGCACTCAGATTCTGAGCTAGGTCATACTGACTCGAAGAGTGCAATCAATGTTACTGAATTTCGGCCTTCCAAGCCTTGCCAGGGTGAACAAACAATACACTTACCTCTGTTGTGTTTTAAATTTGTACATCGACACGAAAGGAGCAATAGTGATACACCATTTGGCATGAGATTGCCTTGATATTTTAGGTATGTGGTCGGCAGGTATGTATTGTTCCATCAATTCCTACTCATGAGCGCATCTACTTTTTCTCTTACACCTTCCTTCCAGTCATCCCAACACACGCTCAACATGGCCGTGTGCCTCCCCTTTCCCCTCGCTCCATCCCCTTCATCCGGTCTATCCAATCCCTCCTTCCCTTCCGGCAAAACGATATGCCACCTCGAGACGCCTTCATCCCTGAATCCAAGTCGTTTCGCCGCCTCCACACTCCGAGTATTGAGCGCGTTCGCCTTCCACTGTGCTCTCCGAAGTCCCAGTCCTCCAAGGGAAGGAGAGTCGAGCAGGTAGTGCATGAGCAAGCCCGTCGCGTGTGTCCCTACGTGCGTGCGCTGGAACTCGGGTAGGTAAAGTACGTATCCGATCTCGGCCTGACTCTGCGCTGCGCTTGCGGCTAGGAGACCGGTCACGCCTGCGAACGCGCCTGGGAGGGAGGCGTCTTCCTTGTCTGGACGGGTGAGGTCGAACACTGCAAACCAGGTCGAGCTGGGATCGGAGGCGATGAGGCGGTCATAGATATGAAGCGAAGATACGAGGTCAGTTAGTGGTCCGTAGCCCACGTATTTGAATAATTCGGGATGGGCGGCGGAGCGTGTCATGAGCAGTGGCATATGTACCGTAGGCTGAGCACCGTCATCCTCAACATTTGGTCGGCAAGAGTTTGCAGACGTACAATAAAAGGTACAAGCCGAACCTTCCCACTATCCAGCTCTTTCACAGGCAGTACAAAGTTCATGTCGTGTACACCTTCAGGCGGGTTCAGCAGCTCCTCGGTCGTCTTAACATCCTTCGTCGGGGGAGCGTAGTTGTTCACCACCGTGACCATCTTTCTATCCAGTTGATATCGCACTAGAGGGGGATGTGTAGCTCAGGAAGTGTGGCAAGGGAATGCATGTTGGGATGGCAATGGGGGGTCGAGGTGACTCGACGCGGGAAGACGGCCGAACGGTGAAGGAATAGACGCCCGTGCAAGTCATCTCTTCCCTTATCTTCACAGGGCTGCTTAACGGACATATGGATTCTGTACAGTGATTGTCACGGTGTTTGTGTACTTGAATTCGATCTTCGAGGTAACTTGAAAGCGATACATTCATCAACAACTTCAATTATCCGGCGCGATTCATTAACATCTCAATCCTCTCCCTTCCTCCTTCTTGCCAATCCTCCCAACAGAGACTCAACAACGCCGAATGCCTCCCAGGTCCTGTGAGTCCATCGGGCTCCGTAGGCGGGTCAAGGCCCTCCTTCCCCTCCGAAAGCACCATATGCCATCTGAGCGTTCCCTCTCTCTTGAACCCCAACCGTTCTGCAGCTTGGATACTTTTCGCATTGAGTTCGTTTGCGCGCCATTGCACACGCCTTAATCCCAGCCCTCCTTGTGTCGGGGAATCTAAGAGCCAGTGAAGTAACAAACCCGCCGAGTGGGTCCCCACATGAGTTTTCTGAAACTCCGGTAGATAGACAACACACGCCAGCTCGGCTTGATTTTGCTCTCTACTCGCTTCCCACAAACCGATCGTCCCCGCAAATGCTCCGCCCAACTCTGGCTTGTCTAGATCCTCCCGAGTCAGGTCAAGCACGGCGTACCAGATACCGCCGGGGTTCGAGCGGATGAAGACCTCGTACATTTGGAGAGAGGATGGGAGGTCGTCTAGGGGGCCGTAGGCGGTGTGATGGAAGAGTTCCGGATGGGCGGCGGGGCGGGTGACGAGGAGGGGCATGTGTACTGAAGGCTGGAGATACAGTCAGCTTCGTTTACTAGATCGGAATGATACTACGTACAATAAAGGGTACAAGTCGGACTTTACCGCTGTCTAACTCCTTGAGCGGGAACACAAAGTTAACGTCGTGCACCTCGTTGAGGAGCTCCTCCATCGTCTTGACATTTGGTCGTGCAGGAGCGTAGTTGTTGACTACCTTGTCCATATTTCCGGTCTATTTGATATTGTACTAATGATTGCAAGATTTCTGCGGCGTGAAAAAAACAAAAGGACAGGAAGGACAGCATGACAATCGACGCGGATGTTCGGCGGTAAAAGCCGGTGAAATAGGCGCCCATGCTCACGGCTATTTGTCATACCATTTATACGGCTGATAATGAACATTTCCCCACATGTTCGTTACATTGGTTATAGCGACCGAAGAATCTACGATTCGTGTATCACCAATCAGTATCTTGTTTGTCCTTGGTATGCAAGCTCAATCGCGACTCATCAACTTCTTGATCCTCTCCCTCCCCCCTTTCTGCCAATCATCCCAACAGAGACTCAACAATGCGGAATGCCTCCCTGGCCCTGTGAGCCCATCCCCCTCCGTAGGCGGGTCAAGTCCTTCCTTCCCCTCCGAGAGCACCATATGCCATCTGAGCGTTCCCTCTCTCTTGAACCCCAACCGTTCTGCAGCTTGGATACATTTCGCATTGGGTTCATTTGCGCGTTATTGTACACGCTTCAGCCCCAGTCCTCCTTGCGCCGGAGAATCCAAGAGCCAACGGAGCAGCAGGCCAGACGCATGAGTCCCCACATGCGTCCTCTGGAACTCCGGGAGATACGTCACAAACGCGACCTCAGCCTGACTCTGCCCCGTACTCGCTCCAATCAAACCGGTCATACCCGCTAGCCGGCCCCCCATCTCCGGGAGTACGGGGTCAGCCTGGGTCAGGTCGAGCACTGCGAACAACGTAGCAGAAGGCTCGGCGCGGATGTGTTGATCGTGCCATTCCAAAGCGGAGGAGAGAGTGGGGAAGGGGCCGAAGGAAGTGTATCTGTTCAGCTCTGAGTGGGGCTGGGCCCGCACGTGAAGGAGGGGCATGTGCACCGATGGCTACCAGCCATTGTCGATCAGACCCCTTCCGATATGGAGAATAGCTAAACGCACTAAGAAAGGCACAAGTCGGACTTTGTCGCTCTCCAGCTCCCGGAGAGGGAACACAAAGTTGACGTCGTATACCCCTTCGGGAGGGTTCAGCAGCTCATTGGCAGTCTTGATCTCATTTGCCGGCGCGGTGTAGTGATTCACTAGCTTGACGTTCATCTTGCCGTGGCTCTAGTTCTACAGGGTGGTTGCCAGAGAGCTGTGTGAATGATTTATTGTCCCCCGAACTCGGCAACATTCCGGTAATTATGAACATGACTCCACGAGGATATTTCCCGGTCACGATGACTCGACGTAAAGGTGCCGTAAGTCCGTAAATGCCGGGGAAGCGCATGTGTTTCATGAAGAATACGCCAAGTCAGCACATTTGGCCATCTAATCGAAGGAGGGCTCACAAGGAGAAACTGTCAACACTGATGTTAATTGGCATTATTGATCATACAACATTGTTTGTACATGTCCGGTTCTGTACTGTTCTTGTCTCCTTCCCCTCCTACATACCCTTGGCAAAACGCGTCCGATAGTCCACCAGATCCTGACCACACGAGACCGCAGGACAGGCCCGAGTCAAAGGCCCAACATCCCCAGCTTCGGACTCATCTTCCACCTCCCCGGCGACCCCGGGGGAGATCTCGTCTTCCCCGCTGCTGCCACCCCTGCCGGTCCAGCCTCGCCCGCCCTAGCCTGGAGCTCTCGGAGTGCCGCGGCTGCTGTCGTCCCCTGAACGACTGGGGGAGTCGGGGCTGCACGAATGACCCCCGTTGGCACAGGGAAAGGAACGGCCGGAGCTGCTCTGGGAAACCTGACTCCGCAGTCCCTCGGCGCCCCTTCACCGCACTTCACGTGACATCTCATCCCACAATCGTCGCATTCCAGTGCTGCGGCCTTGCCCAATCGTCGGTGGCAGAGGTCGCATTTGGCATTCTGGGCTTGCGATTTGACCGTGAGCGGCGAGAAGAAGAAGTTCAACGGAGACCAACCACTCCCTCCGCCGCCGCCCGCCGAGGTGGGAGTGGTGCTGCGCAGGTTTGGGTTCGACCGGACAGGGTTGGACGCAGGTCTGATGAGGGTGAATCGATGGACGAGCACCTGGGACGAAGCCTGGCTGAGGACGCTTGGATTCGGAGCATCAGAAGGCTGAGGGATGCTTGTGTGAACTCTGTTGGCAGGCGGGGCCACATCAAGTCCCAATTGGTTCGCCGAGGCAGGAGCAAACCTCGAACCCGATGGGGTTGGGTATTGCACCCCCTCGTCGACGTAGGCCTTCATCTTCTCCCCTGTCGCAGGATCAATACCCCCATTGGCAGCAGAAGGGCCCTTGACCGCCGTGGGAGAGATCCTCGTGGTTGAATACGAGGCTCTGACGGTGATTGTCGATCCGAGCTCGGCCTGCTCAGGTGTGAATGTATCCTCCGTGACGGGGTCTCCAGCTTGCCGGTCCAACAAATGCGTCACAGATGTTGGTTCAGAAGGGATAACATCTACGAAATAGGACAACATAACGTCAATATTCCCTTCCCTTCCGGAAGCAAATCACGTACCAGCTTGAGACCACCCGCTCCTATCCCCCAACATCGAGCTCCGGCCTATCATGACACTTCCGTATTCGGCCCAGCTCGGAGTACGCTTAACGACTGCGGGCTGGTCAGGCACAAGAGGCTCGTCTTGCTCGTCTGGCGCGTCGTCGGCATCGTCCTCGCCCTCGATCGCGGCTTCGACCTGTAACGTTTCGGGCTCCTCGCCATACTCGGAAGGTGGCGAGGCAGGTACGTCGATAGGGCTGACACGAGGGGGTACTTGGATATCCTCAATCCGTATGGCGGAAAATCGGATGTCCTTTCCCACGCCCATACCAAAGCTGGGGATCCTCGGGGCCTGCCTCGGCCGTCTGCTCCCAGCTCCCGCTCCAGCGACGCCAGTCAAGAACTTTATTGTCCCCACCGGCTTGAGGTCTTCGTCCCCTCGGGCGAGAACTTGCGCCTCGATAGCCGAGAGACGGGAGAGGACTTCAACCATCGATGGTCGTTTGGCAGGGAAGACGCTACAGCAGTCAAGTGCGAGCTGAATGAGTTCCGGTGGACAGCCGGGGGAGGAGAGTGCATAAAGCTCCCTCGGGTCCAGAGAATACATCGGCGCTGCTCGCTGTCAAAGGATGAGACAAGGAGCCTGGTTACAGAAGCATAAGCAATGTACCTTGAACGTCCGATCATCTGCCACCCTCCTGCAGGCAATCTCACAATAGATTACCCCCAGACTAAACACGTCGGTAGGTAGATCAAATGGATCGCCCATGAGGATTTCGGGGCTCATATATGCGTCCGTCCCACAATAAGTCAGACGTTTCGCTTCCTCTGGGGACCGCGGCGTAATGCGGGCAAAGCCGAAGTCGGTGATCTTAAGCCGGCCATTGGAGGTGAGCAGCAGGTTCTCGCCCTTGATATCCCGGTGAACGCACTGCATCAATCGATCAGCGCGATGGCAAGGATCGAAAGAAGGGAGATGCACCTTCCGAGCGTGTAGGTAGGCGAGAGCGCGAGCAATATCGATGCAGAAGCTCAGTCTAAGGCGCCATGGGAAAGGCTTGCTCTTCGCAAAGATGTACTGGCGAAGATTACCTGACCGCACACACTACCGGTCAGCATTGTTCATGTACCTTGGGCGGACATACACACCATTCTCGATGAACTCGGAGATGATGAAAACCCTCCCGTCTGGGGCGTACGAAAGACCAAGGAAGAGCACCACATTGGGGTGTCTCGCCTCGCTTTTCGCATACATCAGCATCCCCGATCCTCCTATAGCGTAAACAGGAGAAGACGTACCGCATCAACTTCCACTCTCGCTCGAAGTACTTCCTCACGTCGTAATCCGTGCTCGGGAGCACCTCTTTGATGGCGACATCCGTGCCAAGGTAAGTGCCTGTCCCGAAAGTACGTCAGTATATGCGCATATGTAAGGGGTAGGAACAGGGGCGCACCTTTGTAGACGTTCCCGAAGCTCCCGCTGCCTAGCTTGTGCCAGTCACCTTTGAGGTCCTGGGAGAAGTTAGCATGTTCCCTGGCTATATGCGCGCGATGCGCGTGCAAAGAATGGGATGACGGACCTCATATGGGATGAGGTCAAATTGCATCTTTGACGATCACTTGACAGCGGGGATACTGTAGAGGGAGGGAATAGGAGGTGATGTGAGGGAGGGGGGTGGTGGTGGACGAGAGGAAGGGTGGGTGGGGTCGACGACTAGATGTATGCGCGTCAGAGCTGCAGGTCTTGTGTGATATGCTGAAGAGAGAAAGAGAGCGAGCAGAGACAATAGCAGAGCGAGTATAAGACAGGGTGCTGAGTGAGCGTCTATGTCTGCTTTAGTAGTCGGCGGTCAGACCTCGATCGAGATCGATCAAATAATCCAAAACCGGCTAGGAGAGTCGCTCGTGAGCTGAGCAGACTGCGACGACGTGCAGAGTGACTCCTAGAGTGACCGCAACCAGTAAATTGAACGACATGACAGCGAGCGCAGTGTCGGTGCAGTGCAGGTGAATGCCGTTTCAGCTAGGGGTTCGGTGCTGAGGGATTCGGCGCTCCTGTCTGACTGTGTTATTTTTAACCAAATCCGGCAATAAGCTTTTCGTCTTACTTAAATAGTTCGTTCGATCGCATATAAGAACTAGGCTCTTCGCGCGGTGCAGTACCTTCCGGTTGTAACCACATTAATATGTGACTTTCGAACCACCGAGGGGAGTGAGAAGGCAGTCACGTGTCTCACAGACCATATTCTCCTTCCGCTATCCGCCTCGTCTTACCTCTTGCCTCTATATCCTTTTTCTCGCTCCCTTTACTCAAGCAAACCTGCACTTTTCGCATCTCAACAACCTTACTTTGCGACACAATGACTTGGAAGTGACTATCGAGACTACTGACCGGCAGAAACTACCTGAGTGGAATTTTCGGCGAGAAGTGAGCGGACCTGACTCAGAAGATCTAGAGGAGGAGGGCACAATAATTTGCAGCTGTTACATCCCAGCTCAACACGGCCAGGTTAGTGTCTCTGCTTGAGAACTGCATACTACAAGCATCGGCTTACATTCAATACCATCCATCAAATATTGGCAGCGGTTTTGTTTTTCCGTTGCAAATGTCTCCCGAGAAAAGGACTGCCAGTTGAACTTCTACATTGATGGCTTGTATGTAGATTGCCAGGTTTTCCAGAACTTCTGTAACACCTGCTACATCTGCGAGAGTGTACTGGACAGAGTTTTCGTGTCGTCCGAGTCTTTGGCCTTCCTATCGTTTGGACGATTGACTAAGGAGACTCTCAGCGGTATGGGAGCTCAATGCATCCTAATGAAGGATCTCACAATGTGAAATTTATTTTAGATGATGAAAAGGTTAAGGAAGATACAAGCGATGACTACTTTCCAGGGGTACTCACCGTTCGGATTCAATATGGGAAATCCAAGGTTGCCGAACACCCAGAGGAGCACGAAGACGTCTTCTTTGATGTACCCCCTCTAGTGTACAGCAAAGACCTGTCTGAGAATGTTGATACTCGGGTTAGGTCAGGATGTCAGTTATTCTATCTGATTTCTCGGTCACTCACTTCTTCTTAGGCCTGTTGAACCCACCCTAGTGAGAGAGGGCCTGCATGGTAGTGACATGTGGGGCTTTGAAAAAGATAGCAGCCCGGATTTAGTCTTCCACTTTCATTATCGCAGTCCAGGTACTTGACGACTTATTAACACACGCATGAAATGCACTGATAGATGATTACCAGAGAAATTGGAGCAGCTGTGGTGTCGAAGTGAGTCCTAAGCATGGCACTCAACTCATCAGTGACTTGAACTGTTGAACTCGATATAGAATACCCACACCGGAGGCTGCCGAGAGATTTATTCAAACCATTCCCTCATAAGAAGCAGGCCCGACAGAGTACAAGCATTGGGATTGATAATGCCCGAGCTATGAGCGAACCAAACGATGAAGAAGAAAACCTTGTGAAAGCCTTGACCAATGCACGTGAACGATATGAATCAGCTGTAGCATTGTTTCAACGCATTGCGGAGAAACTGAACAACAGATTCACTGGATTGCAAGGATCTATTGTGCAGATGGAAGCGCTGCAGTGTTCGATGAAGAAGGCGACGAGAGACAAGACAAAGAAGCGTCCTCTGCCCGAAGATGCAGAAGAAGAAGCATTTATTGATGCCTTGGGGACGCGTCTCAAACGGTATAAGGCAAGTATCTTCTCTCTGTAGCCAGCGAGTAGCCAGCTGATTGTAAATGAAGACTGAAAGTGAAGAGCTCAGGGGGGACTGTCAAGATCCAAAACAAGAATGCGGCCTTCAATCGAACCTTGCAGGACATCCTGAAAAAGTAAGCGGGGACGATGGGGAAGTTGCGATTCATAATTGTTCCAAATCGTTGTTGATTATGCCGCTATGTGACCTATATGCATGTATTCGCTGTTGTTAGCTTTCATTGAACGAGTGCTTCTGCCACGCACTAGAGTCCTCCGACAGTAGGGATTATCCGAGGTAAGACACCACGATACATCGCCTGTCTCATGCTTAACACGCCCAGCTTCTCCGTCCCGCGTATTGCTTGGTCGGCACTTTCACGCGTACGAGTTCAATACGCTGGTTTCAGGTCGCAAGCGCACCTCCGATTGAAGGGAGAGGGGGTCTTATTCATGGGTGCGAGCCTTTCGCCGTCTTTCTTTCCTCGCATGCTCCGGATCGTGTCTTCCGCCCGGTGGGCGAAACCTATCGTATAAGGGGTTATGAGTTAGTCGCAGATAAGAGGGAGCTATGGAGGAACGCACCGAGAGCCCTAGGTTCTGCACTGCGGCACTGTCACTGCATTGACACCCTTCTTGATGCTAGAAATGCCTTCTCTCTCACCAATATCCATACAAACAGCAAACGCGTTCGGTCCATTGATACCATAAGCCGCCTACTTATGCCATGTGATGTCGGCAGCCCTCGTACATGTGCGGAAGCCATCACCATCATCGCGCACGGTTGACCAGCGCCCTTTCCGCCAAGGAAGGCAGCCCAGGCTGGAGCAAGATTGGGGTTAGTACTGCGGTTCTCGATATCTGCGGTTGTGAAGAGGAAGATGGCTTTCGTTGTCGATGCCTCGATCTATGTATTCGTGTGCTTGACGCGGGTTTGTCGATAAGCTCGGATACGATGAACACCCTTTCCATCTGGAGTGCACGAGAGACCAATCAAAAGACACCACATTGAGTTGTCTGGTCCTGCTGATCACGCTCATGAGCATCCTCCCTCATCGTGTGGTATGAACGGCGGCGACACAATTTCTCTTCAGCTCAAAGTACTTGCTTGGTCGTAATCCGTGATCCGAGGTAACTCCTTGACTGCGCCATTCACACTAAGACTCGTGTCTGCAGGTGGAGGAAACTCTTATCAGTGCGTGATATCAAAGCGGTCTGAATACGTGCGTACCTCTGTAGACGTTCCCAGGGCTCTCGTTGCCTAGCTTGTGCTACTCGCCCTCTAGATCATTCTCGGTATATGCGTAGGCGATGGACGCGGTGAAAGCGAAGATAGACAGACTGCATTGGGAATAAGATCGAAATATATCTTCGACGCTGGGTTGACAGTTGCAGTACAGGAGGGCAGGCGGTTGGACGGTGCAGAGGAAGAGGGTGGTGAAGGTACAGAGAAGAAAGGCAAGCGGCATCAATCGCTAGATGTATGCTCTTCAAGCTTGACCAAGTACTCTATAGCTACACTCGCATGAGTTCAACAGTTCGACCACATGACAGCGTGGCTCTAGAAAGACGGTAACATGCAAAGGGAGTGGCATGACTGCGAGTCCAGCGTCGGCACACTAAGGGGTTTGGGGGCGCTCCGATGGTGTCTCGGGCCTGCGTGAGTCACGAAACCCAAGTCGTGTGGACACGTGTCTCTATTTTTTGGCTCACTTTCCTTCCGCATATCCGCTTAGAAAAGTGGTGAAGGACCGGTCGAACATCTCTTTACGTTCTTCCTCCTTCTGACAAGAACTGCTAAAACTGGTCGATCGATACTATCATGCGGGGCGAGGAGTTCGAAGTGACCATCAAGTGTGGCGAACGAACCTTGCCTGAGTACAACTTGAAGAATGAACTTCACAAAGAGCCATATTTGGAGTTGGTTTACAGTTGCTGCATCCCCGTCGAAGACAAGCAGGTTAGTTTGACTTTTTATCCCACAATACGCCCTGACACTTGTCAAACATGCTTTACTAATTTTGCATGCCAGCGTTTCTCATTCGTTGTTAACAGTACTCCACCTCACACAGCCGATGCCAAGATAGATATCTATCTTGATGGCTTCTGGGTACCCCCTGTGCTCAGGAATACAAGAGGCGAAAAAGGTCCTGTTGTCCCAAATGTTATCGATGCTATGCCCCTGTCTTCCAGCTACATGGTATATCCTTCATTCCAGAAGGTGCCAACAGAATCGAAGTGCAAGCCTGGCTTATTTATTATGTGCTTGCAGCCTGCTAAATCCTCTGGGAACTTTAGATGATATGAAGCACGGGTCTTACAAGCCAGGGGTACTCACGGTCCGCATTCGGCGTGGGGAAACAATGGCCTGGTCCACTCCCCGAAAGAAGATACTTCCACCGCAAGATTGTGAGCTTCCTGCGCTAACGCGAGGTGATTGGAGCATGGATTTTCGAGTGAGGTAAGTAGCATATAAATGTACTTCGCTCATATAGAATTCCTCCAGCCTCGATAGGGTGCCCTACGAAGGAGTTCACTATGAGAGTTCGACGATGGTCGAGTTCTATGACAGCCCAGTTCTTATCTTTCTCTTCTATTATTACAGTGCCGAAGGTATTGCACGATAATGTCGAATTATCGATGAGAATGTACTGAAGGTTATGTCTAGCAATCCCTTTACCAGGCGCAAGGGCGATAATACAGAGTGAATTCACGCATAGTAATATCCTATCAAATAAGACACTGAGTGTATCTCAGCTGGAAGCTCGTCCACTTCTCTTCCTGCCAAACAGCAAGCGAACCACGCCTCTGTTAGCACTCAGACAGAGGAGAGTGAGCCTCCGAGGGAACCTGATGACGATACTAGTAAAGACATCGACGCCCTGCATGCTGTGGTCTGCGGAGCTCAAACTCGTCTCCATCAGCTCTCTCGCGAGCTTGAGAACAGACGGTCTCAAGCCCAGGAATCTATCCAGAAGCGGAAAGGACTGCTGTCTCAGATGGAAAAGGAACGTGCGGCGAAAGGGAAGGGCAAGAAGCGGGCTCTGACGCCTGATGCGGAGGAAGAAACGTATCGTGAGTACTTGAAGACCAAGCTTAAGCGGTACGAGGTGAGTGTCAGAATGTGTTCCTGTTGAGACCTGCCTCTGACTGTGCGACGAAGGACGAGAAGGAGAAAATCAGGGAGGGGATCGTTAAGATCCAGAAGGAAAACAAGGTGTTCGATCAGGCACTGCAGGAGATGCTTGAGAAAGATTAGAGTGAAGCCTATATCTCGTCGATGTTTTTTCTCGCCATTCACGTATATGCATAAATTCTCACATTTTACCGTTCATTAATGATGACACTCAGGCGACAGAAGAGAGCCGAAAACAGAAGTTCACAGGGGAAAAAGGAGTAAGTTGGAAGATCTCTATTCTATGATCCAAAAATAGAGGGTCGCACATAGCACAGCATCAAACCTCAGGATCGCATCTCTATTCATTTCCCTCACAGACTAACCAGTACGATAAGTAACGAAATGGACAATGAGACGATGAGACCAAGACACAAGATTGGAAGGGAAGATAAGGAATTGTGAAGTTGCGGAATTGCGGAATGTGGGAATTTTGTTCGTGCGGAGGAGATGCATTAGGATGCTGCGAGGGAAGGGAGGAGGATGTGAGGTAGTTAGGTAGTTGAGGAATGCGGGGAAAGGAAAGGGGTTAGGTATTAGGGTTGTTTTCCTACTACTTTCGGTTCACCCTGCACGGAAATGAGTCACTTGGGGTTGTGCTAGAAAGCACAGCTTACCAAGCCTTGACGTAATCTGCGAAGGAGACCATGCAGATCGTCTGCCATATCCCCAGGCCAATGCGAGGCGTCACACCCCGATACAAGCCCTTGATCCCGTTCTCCCTATACACATACATAAGGGTGCCGAACACGCCGAGCTTCTCCGTCCCGGGCTTCTTGCTCATGCTCTGCATCTCTACGCGTACGACTTCGATAGGCTGGTTCCAGGTGGCGAGCGCACCTCCGATAGAGGAAGAGAGGATCTTGTCCATCGGAGCGAGCTTTTCGCCCTCTTTCTTTCCCCGCATGCTTCGGATTGTGTCTTCCGCCAGGCGGGCGAAACCCATCCTACATCAGATCAAGTTAGTCAGAGAGGAGTGGGAGCTGTGGAGGAACGCACCGAGAACCCCAGTTTGTGCACTGGCGCACTGCGACTGCGTTGACACCCTTGTTGATGCCAGCAATACCCTCTCTCCGATAGATATCCATAAACACAGCAAACGTGCTCGGGGGCTTGATACCCGACGCTGCCTGTTTATGCCGTGTGATCTCGACAGTCTTCATACATGTGCAGAAGCCTGGATTACATAAGCGATGGAAAAGGCGTGGAGATGAGCCAGCGCACCCATCGTTGCGTACGCTTGGGCGATACCGCCGCCCATTCCGCCGAGCAACCCGGCCCAACCGGGAGCAAGACCGGCGGCAATACTCCGGTTTTCGATCTCTGCTGCTGTGAAGAGGAGCACAGCTCCCTTGGTAGATGCCTCGATCCACGCCTAAGCACGCGATGATCAGACTCTCGCAAGCGGGAAGGAGGGTGGGAACACACCCAGGGGATGAGACCTTGGTAGAAGCCTAAGAAACCACCGCGCGACCAGATGGTGCCTACTCCCTGGAGCATCGATTGGGAGCGATTTGCGGCCATCTGGGTTTTCAACACCTCTAGCGGCTGGCCGAGTGTTGTTACCTACATCCAGGAACATATCAACATCTTATTTCCCTTTATGTGGGAGTCGGTTAACGCACCTCGAACATGTTCATAATTGCACCTAACCGGTCCCGTGAGCTTGGACCCAGCGTATATGCGTCTCAAAACCCACCAACAGCAATATTAGACCAGTTAATCCCCTTCTGCCCAGGTTCTCGTGTCGGCGCCATCGTGCAGTGAGTCCTTGACTGTCGTGAAATATATGTTCACAGGAGAGGAGAGAAAAAGAAATTGAAGGCGACGAGAAATACCCTGGGGAGCGTGTAGTGGAGGAGAAGAGAGAAGGGGATGCTCCCGTTGGGGACCGGCACCGGCGACTGCTTTTAGACCCTTACTTTCCCGGAGCCGTCGTTGGTGGAGGAACCGGAGATACCGACACAGAGCTGTTATCAACGAGCCTTGGGGTATCAGGGGAAAGGGGGGAATTTTCAACTAAGTAATACAGTTTTTATATACCCACTCTACTACAGACTCGGGAAAGAACCCCCAACATGCCCGCAAATCAGCGCATCCAATATCCGATCTCCTATTACAACATTCTCAATCAAAGTTGCAACCTACCGCTCCTCGGGCATGGGAACAGAACAGAATCGTTGACAGAGCGTATCAGCCATGCAACGGTCGCGTCATACCCATTCTCGTTCATACCGCCGGGCTCGTGCTCAGGAATGGGATCACATTCCCGACTGGGCCGCACCGTCCACCTGACCTTCCTGGCACGACCAAAATGTTCCATCACAGTCGGGCACAGCGTTAGCAAAATGATACATGCGCACTCGCACTACGTAAGAATGTACATAGTCTACGGTCATCGCTGCACGACTCGCACCACCCCCTCCCTCCCGAGCTGGAAGAACTCATCCCCATCCACGCGCTCGTACAGCCGCCATCCGGCAAGTGCGTAATTCCCCGCCCGAAACAGGCTCAGCCTCGCGCGTTTCTCGCACGCACCAAGCGGCGGGAGGATCCCGTTATGCACCAGGGTGCCTATCCATTGCGGAGGGATAAGCGGGGGCTGGGCAGAGGCGACCGCTGCCATTGCGCTCGGTAGACGGAGGGTGAACTGCGTTGCTCGAGACGGGGAGACGTTGCGAATCGTGAATGTCACATTCAGCCTGCAGGGCCTGAATGCGGCCCCGAGTTGTCCAAAATCGTGCTCGACCTCCAGGCCTTCGTCGACGTTGACTTCGACGACTAGAGGGTCCCCCTCTTTCACAGGACGCCAGCTGGCGATGATAGCGCTCGCCGCTTCTGCCGCCTCCTTCTCCTTCAGAGCCTCTTCATTCTGGCTATGCAGCGTAAACCGTCTCTTGGGAACGTTGTCGCTCTCGGCAGTATCGGGCGGATCGTCATAATCGATCAGCTTTTCCTCCGCCAGAGGATACCCCAGTAGCCGTAGACCACTAGTGATACTCTCCGGTATTGGGAACCCTTCATGGCCAATTTTGTCTTTCTGGAACCACCTCGTCACGTTGATTTCCAGCTCTCCAAGCTCGCCGACCTTGAGAGCAGGAGTTTGGGAAAACGCCTCATACGCGCGTCGGAGGAATAACAGCGTCAGCTGGTCCAGGCCATGTCCCTCCATCGCTAGCCCGGCTATGGCGTACCATAATGCCTTCCTCCGCCTGCCTGTTTCCCAGACACCAGCACGTGCTAGGAGCATAGCTGAAAGAGGCGACTCCACATCGCCTGCTGCGAGGGCGAACCATCGCGCAACTTCGTTCCGTCGTACTGGTGACATCCCAGCTATCCCATTTCTGGAATGGACGTTGAGCATATAATCCGCTCGTGAGAGGACGAGAGCGCGGGAGAGCGAGCTTGCCGCTGTCATGGGCATCGGCGGTCTGAGGCAAGCAGCAGCAAGCGGGGTTAGGCTTGGTACTGCCTGTGCAGCAGGCGGGGGAGGGGGAGGGTTGTGTAGCGCATGTAGGAGTAGAAGGTCTTCGATGTTCGCACCCCGTGCTTCGCGTCGTATTGGATCCCCTATCGCTTGCACCTCCTTCTGATCTCCTAGCATGGCGCTCCATTCGACAAGTCGCCGATCACCCGCCGGTGTCCCGAGAAGCGACGTAGAGGTGGTGGCAAGTGTGGGCTTGGGGGATGTGGATGTCGACGCTGGTGCGGAGGATGAACCGAAGAATCTTCTGGATGTGATAGAGAGCAGCCGATTGGGAAGAGCGCGTCGGGTTGTATACTATACACCGGAAGGTTAGACAAGCATGCAAGCAGAATAAAAAACAACGCACTGATTCGTGTAAAGCCAGCACAGATCGCTCCATAAACGGTACTAAGCTCTGTGTCACCAGCTCTCTCAGAAACCTATGCCAAGCCTGGCTAACACTGCTCGTAATCGTCTTTGGGCCGTTTACTTCTTCGACGGGCACAGGTAACGGCTTCTCAGCATCGTCAGTCACACCTGACGTTGGGGATGTTGGGGTGGTGCGTGGGAGTGCTGGAGTTTCCGGGTGGGGTTGGAGAGGAGGAGGACGTGGTAGTGCTGCTGGAACAGCTATCTGTCCATCGGTGGCAAGGGGCGCAGGAAGTGAGAGAACGGCGCAATGTGGCCCGAAGGTACGTTGGAGCGAAGGCAGTAATGTACTATATACAAGTAAGCACTCTGGAGCAGATACGAGGGGATTCACGCACGGATCGGCAGGGGATTTGGTGACGACGAGGAAGAAGACGAGGAGAGACTTCGCATCGGCGAATGACTTTACTCGGGCGTGCAATGCCTGCAGCGCAATCAAAGGTGATGGATCATCTGTGCTCGCCATGAGAAGTACTGTAGTCCAATTAATAACGTACGTTGATAAGATATACATACCCTCGTACCTGCAATGACGTTCTCGTCACCAGCCGTGGATTCAAGGCATCGCTGCGCTTCTAACCAGACCGCAGACTCTCCATCCTCGTCCGCCTTCCAATCGCTCCTATTACTCGCATCCTTTATCCGCTGCGCGACCCAGGCGACCCAATGTTCTTTAGTAACAAGGGTTTCGTGCCGTGTGCTCTCCTCGAACTCGACAAAACGTAAGCTAAAGGCGTTGTGGACAATCGGTTGCAGGCCGGTGCTGAGCGTCTGGACGTTCTTGAGTCGTGAATGTGCTTGTAGGACGGTAAGAATCGGAGGAGAGTCTATTCCAGAGAGAAATGTTGGCAGAAATGGGGAATATAGTATGGCGACTGGCGCCTGGAATGCCATGATACAAGTGTACAAAGAAAAGCGCCCAAAAACCGCGTCATCGTGTACGGACTTTCACTGGACACAGCCACGCAGAAACATCTTCAATGCAAAATATCATACAAAAGACGTAGACAGCAGGGGTGTATCTAAATGCAGTAGTCCGTGTATCAAAATACCTCATGGTATACCAACAATATTCGGACAATGTCCCATCGGACCATACAGAAATAAGTAGTCGTAAAGGGGCATACCAGAACAACAACGCATGTGCATCACTCACTGGAGGATTTTTTCTTTGGCTCTCACACACCGGATCCACACTTCTCCTGGTCTGCTCTTCTCTCGAAGAATTCTATATACACTCTTCGTTCCCCGAGAACTGCAGCGCAATTGCAGATCTGCCAAGCCCTCATTCGTACCCTCGGTCTCGACGATAATGCGCCCATCCCAGCCGGCATCGACCACTTCCTTCGATTCAGGAATTGGGGTGCCGCGTAGGAGCCTCGCTACCGAACGGTGGGAATATCCGACGATGGTATGGTATCCACCTTGCGGAGTCTCAGACTGCACGCGATCCTGGACGAGTTGGACATTCTGCATGATCTCCCGCCCATATGGCCTCAAGTCGATGAAAGCGAGCGGGTTCGTATTCGTCCGAATGACCTTGTGCCAGTAGGAAGGTGGATATGCCAGGGAGTTGAAGTAATGCGGGAGCTGGCCTGACGGGGAATAGTTGTACTCCAGGTCGAGAAGGTAGTTTCCATCCCAAATCAGGCGACCAATGTTCCCTTCGTCGGAAACGGCCGCATCCCAGACGACGTCCCCGCGCCGCACGAGCTTCATCACGCCGGCACGACGTAGTTCCTTTTCGCACTCAACCACACTCTCATCGCCCAACCACCCACCTTGAGGGCTTGGAACGAAGACACGCAACAGGGGTGCATGACCAGACCGGTACAGCGGCGAGCGGAACGCATCGCTGTCCCAGCCTGCTTCTGCCTGCGCTCTCAGTCGGAGGACGACCCGCGTGTACGACCGCGTAGCGCCGGTGAAGCTCCTACACAGCGCAAGGGCAGCAGGGTCGTGCGACTGTGACTGGAGGTATGTGTCGGCAGCGCTGGCATACTGATAGGTAGCGATAGAGACGCCCATGAGATATGCATTCAGGTCCTTGAGCGAGAGGGTGAGAGGCTCGTCGCGCTTCAAGTGTCTGGGCCAGCGACGATATCCAACGGTGTCAAGATATCGTTCTAGGATGAGTTCGCGCAGACGGCGCTCCTCACAGGCGCCGCGAGTCGGGTGGTTGATATGTAGCAGAGCCAGGAAGTCGCGGAAGGAGAGGTACTGCAGCAGCTGGGCGAGTACTTCAGGCTCGACAAGTATATGTGTGAGAAAGAGTTCCTGCGGGCCGCGTTCTTCCTGGGGAGGAACGACGACCGGGGGCGGGACAGTCCGTGGCGGGGGAAGCTTGTACCGCGGATCGCTTGGTCGCCGATAGTGACCGTACTGCCTTTCCGGGGACTTGGGGAAAGGAACGACGGCGGGCTTGACAGCTCCCGCGTCCAATCGGTGCCGTGTTGTTGACTGGGCGGACACGCTAGTCACGTTGCTCGGCGGAACGCCTGCTTCAGATGAGGTAACGTACGACGACGCGCTGGACGATGTCTTCGATACACCTGCACCCTTGGCAGAGCCGTTCCCATGCGCGTCAGAGCTGCTGCTGTCCATCGACGCTCGCACAGGAACGACACCGCGTGCATCCCGCTCTGGCCTGTCCATCTCCCTCGCCCCTCTTAGGTTCGTGCGCAAATTCAGGTCCTCGCTACTCGTACTCTGCCTCCTAGCCGGGGTCCTTCGCAAAATGCTCGCACTCGCAGCCAAAGGCTTGTTCTTATCGTTGAGCGGCACGGTGGTAGTCCTCGTCGGGGTGCGTGCAGCGTCCTCCTTGTACTCCGGCTGAGGCTCGGGGTCGAGTACGTCGTCGTCGCTGGTAGAGATATCCGAAGGGAGATAAGGGCTCTTATACAAGCTCACCCTCGTTTCTCCAGAAGAGTCCAACCCTGAGTCCGTGCAGGTCAATTCGCGCACCGAGGGCGCACCGAGACTAACGACACTGCCCCTAGCTTCCTCCTGCCCGGGCCCAGATGACAAAGAAGTGGAAGTCAAATACAGCCTGGCGGTATTCGCCTCGTCGCCCTCGTCATCCTTTTCTTCCTCCTCAGATTCTTGAGAATAAAACGACGCGGTGCTCGCTCCCAGCCGGCTGCTGTCCGCTAAGCTCGGGACTGCACTCCTCCGGTGGTCCTCGCGCGAACCCCCTGCGGGGGAAGGAGTACGAGCCTCGATACTGGGAGGAGGGATCAGCCCGCCAGAGCCAGAAGGAAGGACCCGAGAGGAAGAAAGGGTGCTTGTGCTCGTACTTGAGTAGCCGGGGTCCACAGGGTCGGCAGCCGGTTGCCTGAAGGGAAATGCACGTGTGGCGGTTGGCGTGCGCTCGTCCGAGAAGGAGGGGTCCTCTTCTGGGGAAGTGACGAGCTCGATGGGGGAAGGCGAGGCGACGAAGACACGTGCGTTGCTAGGTCGTGTAAAGGAAGAAGCGGGGGTTGTGCCGCCGGTTCTTCCGTAAGCAGCAATAGGAGCAGAAGCAGGAACAGGAACAGGAACAGGAGAAGCAGCAAGCGACGTATCAACCTGCCTCAGGTCAACTTCGCTCGCCGCCCTCCTTCCATGGTAGCCATGCGCCTGCCGACCCTTCGCGCGATCGAAAGCGCTCACGGACGTGCTCCCCGGATACACATATCTCCCCTGCCCCTGCCCCTGCCCTTGCGAAGCGCCCGCCCTGGGTGAGTGGGAGTCCAAGCTCCTCACCCCAGCACCGACACCAGCAAAGTTCTCCCCACTGAGGATGGAGACGTTATCCGCCTGAGCCTGGGGGTAAAGCATCCTACGCAGGTCGTCTATTCCCTCAGGCTCGACCTGGCTCCTCCTCCTCCCCTCCCTAACGCGTACATGTGCTTCTTCCGCAGGAGAGACGCTCTTCTCCACACGAGCAGCCCGGCTCTCACTCAACCTCCTTACAAACCCAAAGACCCCTCCCCCTCCTCTGGAAGTAGGAGGCGAGCCTGGTACAGGGCTCCTAAATGATCCCGGGGCAAAGGAGCGCTTGCTAGCGAGAGAAGGGGATATACTGGCCCCGTCTACGGCGCGCAGCTGGCTCGGACTCTCGAGCGGGTGGTCGCTGGTGCGCGAAGCGGTAGACCGTTTCTTGACGAGCTTTCCGCGGTGGGAGATCGATCCGTGCGAGCTAGGGCTGAGGGGACTCGTGGGACTGCCATCCTGGGCAGTGCTGTAGTGTGCTTGAACTTGGCTGTGTGGGTGGGACTGTGATTGGGGGAAAGAATGAGGCGGAGGGGAGACAGGCACCGGACCGCGGTACAAAGGCTCTACTTTCCCGCCAGAGACGAATAAGAAGGACCGTTTCGGCTGATTGAGCTGGTTGGGCTGGGGTTGAGGCTGAAGCTCGCGCGGGGAATGTGGTGGTGTGAGAGGTGTAGAAGAGGTGGGGAAAGGGTGTGTACCGTGGGGGAGCTGAGGCGCAGACTGGGATGGAACAGCCTGGAGTTGGGGTTGCCGGCGGGATTGAGGTTGTTGAACCTGGTAAACTGGCTGAGCTGGTTGAGGCTGCTGCGCCCTGGCCTGAGCAGCAAGAATCTGCGAGGGCAGCTGCACACCCTCCGACCGCAGTACACCGTCTCCAGCTCCTCGCTGGCCAATCCCAAGCTGGACCTGAGGGTTGACCTCAACCTCCCGCTCAGGCCTGACCTCAGCATCCGTATCAACCCCCCTCTCGCGCAAATGGAGCACCACAGCTGCCTCAGCCTGCGAGCGAAGTCCCTCTTCCGCCCTCGGGGATACAGGGGAAGGCGTCGCCTGGCTAAACGACCGTTTCTGTCTTGGCGAAGCGGTCGAGTATGTGCGGGTGATGATGGGGGAGGGCGTTTGAGGCTGGGGGGTGGGGTGGTCTTTGGAGTATGTTCGCGGACGGGGGGAGGGGTCGGGCTTGACCTCGGAAGGGAATTGGGGTTGAGCTTCTTTGGAGTAGGTGCGGGAGAGGGCGGGTGGGTAGGGGTTGGTGGAAAGATCGACCTTAGGTCGTGGAGGTTGAGGTTGAGGCTGAGGTTCGGGAAGGGGTTCCTGCCAACGGGGTTGCATATACGTGTTCACTCGATTGATTGTCCTTCCATCCCCACCAAGGGCATGAGCAAAGCCAGGCACTTCCGGGCCACGTACAGCGGCAGCACTCGACGTCTGCCGGTAAGGACCGCCGTTCGTCCTCCATCCCTCACTGGCGCTAATTGGTTGGGCAGGTGCGGGAGCAGGATCTTGCCATTGGGGTTGGGAGGTCGAGGCCTGAGCAGCAGTGCCGTTGACGGTCCTCCAAGGCTCGTTCGACCTTGGGGACAGAGCAGGGACAAAACCCGCAGGCGGAGCAGGTTCTTCCCACCGGGGAGCAATGGCAGGCTTCCCCCAGTCAGACTTGCCGTTCCCGTCCACACCTCTGCCAGCAGCATCCTGCCGCCCGCCCAACCCCTGCGCTCGTACCTGGCTCAGCCCGGCATTAGGCCGCAACATGCTCCTGGGCGGTTCCTCCCCCAAGGCCCTATCAACCTCCCTCTCTCCACGCTTTTCCCAAGTCCGATCCCTCTCCACGCTCCCGCTCGGTCCACCGGCAACGACCTCTCTCCCAGGGCGGTCCCTTCCCCACCCTCCACCGCCAAACCGGCCTAGGGAGTCTCCCCTCGGGGGCGCCTTGACCAGCTTTCCCTTCCCCCTCGACTCTGCTCCCGGTTCTGCTTCTGCTTCTGGTGCTGCGTGTTGGTAGGGGGCTTGTGAGTGCGGGAGGGTCCGGAGAGGGGGGTAGGGTAGGCCAGTCGAGGGGTTTATGGCTGGTTTTCGTCGGGGTAGAGGGAGGAAGGGCATTTCCTCAGTCCGATTCTCCGTCGGGTTCGTACTCGTACTCGTACTCGCAGAAGCAGAAGCAGCGCCAGAAGCTGGACCAGGGGCAGGGGCAGACGGAGACCGGGAATGGACGTAGTCGAATTGCTCGGTCTTGTATTCCTTGCTTACTGAGCGGGCGACGCCCACTCTTGCGCTGTCAAGGCTTGAACGGCCGGGATTGAGATTCGCGGGGGGACGGTAGGTTGAGGGTGCTTGGGAGGTGGAGGTGGACTGGGATGGGAGAGCGGGGTTCGATGTTGATATGACAGGGGGTGAGAGAGGAGGAGAAAGAGGAGGAGGGGGAGGAAGTGCCTTCCCTTCACTCCTATTCCCTTGTGCAGACTCGTGCTCCTCAGGCTTGTACACCTTTCCCAAGCCGCTCCTGCCCGTGCCCTCACTCTGCTGATCCTGATCGAGAAAATCCAGCCTCAGCTCTGTCCCGCTTGCCGATCTTGCAAACCTGGCATAGACGGGTGTTGGTATGCCCAGATCCGCACGAGACGCGGTAGGAGAGGGGGAGGCAGAAGCAAAGGTGTTGTTCAACGGTGAGTTGGATGGAGAGCGGGTGGTTATGGATAGACGGGAAGGAGAAAGTGAGGCAGATGAGCGGAATGAGGGTGCGTAAGGTGCTGAATGGGCGTATTCTGGGTTGGAATAAGGTGAAAAGTCCTCACTCTTCTTCAGTCGAAGAATCTTGAGCATCGTTGACAGCAATGTACCAGAAGATGAGGAATGTGATACGTCTCGAGGGTAACACGTGGTCCTCGTCGTCAGTTTCCTTCTTATTTAGAGACGTCCACCACCGTTCGACCAGCGTTAACAGAGTTGACAGAGAACGTCGTCGCCAGGAATAATAAAAGTACTGGCCGTCGACGACGACGACGACAAGGCCAGTGACCACCGCTCTTGTCCTCTTTGCGTTCTAATTGATCACAGGGCGTTTATGCTTCCGTACACGTGCCGCTATTCAACGCGGTGCCTTAGTGCCTGGCGGTGTTGACCTTGTTTCTCTTTTTTCACTTGTTTCTTGCGATTCGACCAGCTGTCACTTGAGGAGAAGAACGGACCAGCGTTCGCAGATGAGCCTAATATTCTCCTTCTCTCACAGTTGATAGCCTTTCACCTAGCCTACAATAACCCCTGAAAATCGACGCCCAGGTAACCATAACAACATCAACAATATAATCGGCCTTCGTCAATCACGCTCAAAAAGAGCTTCTCTATTATCACACAGCCACATTCCGATTATTGTTTAGCGCCTGTACCGCTTTCTTCAAGTTCGTTGTGCCAAGTTGGAGCTACTCCTCATCAGCTCTCCTATTCGACATCCTTGGCATCCTTGTCTACCCCGGGAAAGCGGGGTTATTGTCAATCTTGACAATGGTGGCTTTCAATCCAACCGCTTCGGGCACTTGCACCTCTGGAGCTAACCTGGCATTTTAGGCCCTAGAGTACAGTCTAGGCCACTCTGCGCCGACACTCTTACTATAGCTAGGCTCGAACATGAAGTACCCTGGACCATAGGCACACCTGAAAGTCCGGGAATTGTTGTGCGGAACGATCCCAGTACATCCGGGTTTCAGGACACGGAATCCGGATTCCGGATTCCGTGTCGGGGAACCCGTATGTTCTCAACAAACCCGGAGGGCTCTGCAGGAATTCCGCCTCTCGCATTTGGGTCTCAGGACGTCAAGGACCGAGGCGTTTCCTGTCAGGCGCTACTAGTGAGCAGCTATAGGTTCTTGGATTGACGGCAAACTCTAAGAACAGCCCCATTCCTGCTCGTCATATCTCCAAACGCCTGCCCTTAGAGCGCAAGTGATCCCACTTTGCTGGAAACTGATATAGCATATGCGATGCTATCAGACTCAACCCCACAAACGCCACAAATTAATGAAGTGAGTCATCAAGAATATCTTATCTTGGAAAAGTCAGAAGTCCTCGGTTGCCCTCCAGCAGGACAACACTGAAGCTCCAGACTCAACATAAATCGAAGTAGGGTAGTTGACATTCCTTGTCTGCTAATGATACACGTCCATCCAGTACCTAAGCTTGTCCATGCAGCAGCTCCGCAGTGCATAAGCTTCCCAGCTCCGGAAAGTATCACAACCCCATCCTCTTGGCCAATGCCATCCCCATAGCGAAATTTGCCAGCCGGGCATCAACCGTAAATCCCCTGTCTTCATACGCTACACCAGAACACCCTGTCAGGTGGGCGAGCAACAAACGGACGGGGGTATCGTACCTTTCAACTCGTTATACAGCTTCTCGAGCTCAACAACTCTGCGAACAATATGCTCGCCCGGATCTAGCTGCTGTTTCGGCATGCTCGTCATGTCCGATACAGGCACGCGGAGAGTGACGACCTTCATGTTCGCCGTCGACATCCCTTTGCCCAGGTTAGCAGAGTCTGGAGTCATGATGACATAAGTGGGACGTACCGGGGTCGCACCACATTAGTGGGCTGGAATCGACCACTTCCTGTGCTTGGTAGCCCGTTTCCTCTCTCAGCTCTCTTATCGCCGCCTCCTCAGCCGTCTCGTCACCATCGATCAGGCCCGCCGGAAACTCTGTACAGATGAGCAACGGCTACGCAGCGCCGCCCAGTGCGGACATACCGATACACGTCTGTGCGAGCGGAGGCCGGTACTGCTCGATGATCACTGTGCTCGTTTTCTGTCCTTCAGCCTGGAGGAGCGCAAGGATCGCCACGGCATCTACACCCCCACTCCCCCGGGTCTTACGCTCCGCCGCCTCCCATATCCGTTCTTGGCCGTCCTCGTCCTGCCACCGAATACGCCGGAGGGCGACCCACTTCGCCTCGCTGTTTTCTAGCGGCTCGGAACTGAGGATTTGTGGTTTCTGGGACATTTTGATTGTGCTGAATCGACGAGTGAAGAGGAGGTGCGAAAGGCGTGAGAGACGTGCGACTGCACGTCTGGTGGTCGAGGCGGGTTGCATAGAGGGCGCGGAGATAAGGGTCCCAGGAGCGCCCAGTGAAGTCGACCACTATGGCATAAGAGAACAAACTATCTAATTTGATGCAGTTGGATAATGTACAGTGCATGTAATATAGCTTGAATGTAAACAAAGATAGATGTGGATGGGACTATGCAGGTCGTCCAGTTCGAGGATTGCGTGAAACGGTATTCCTGAGGTATTCAGACATGAAGGCACTCGTGACTTTCTCGTTAGCGAGCAGCGTGCTCCGTGCTTCGAAAAGCAGTTCGCCAGGATTCGCACGGCAAGGAGGCTGAGATAATGATTGTAGACATTTCACGATCTGTGGAAGGGAATCAGCGCAGAACAATCGGCGTTGTAGAAAAAAGGGTGTACCTTCGATTGGGCACGTCCGTTGACTTCTTTCATCTCGGAGAGCAGACCCGTAAATGTCGCCGCATGCTTCAGGGCCAAAGGAGAGTTGGATCTCAAGAGGAACATGACAATATCCACAAACACGTCGGAGAGTTGTTGAGCAGCAATCTTCAAGCCGTTTCAGTTCTGCCATCATGGTAGCCCGCGCGACTCACATGCAAAGTTCCACCACCGAGACCGTGCGATTTGATGATCACTTGTTCCAAGGCTGGCCATATCCCATACCATAGGGTGGCCTCCTGGAGTCCACCAACGTCCGAGGATTGTGTCAACAACAACCACAAGATCAATGAGGCATGCGCGTAGGATAGATCGTTCAAGTCGTTTCTGTCCTCTCGGAGACTCTCGTGTAGTTCGTTCATCATAGTGGCGAAGGTGAAGCAATAATCCGTGACATGCTGCGCTAAGCTTCTGCGGAGTTCGGTTTGGAGCTCAGGGCGTTCCGTCGAGAAGGAGAGGGCTGCCAGAGCAAAGAATGCCCACATCCGTAGCCCTTGGCCAGCTCTGGACACCATTGCCTACCAAAGGGTGTTATGAACTGGACTGACAGCACTGCATAGGGGGAAAGGGGGGGCTCACCTGTCCAGCGCCGGCCCCAAACGCTGTCCGCAGTGCATCTCTCTGGCTCTGCAATCCAAGGAGAAAGATTGTTGAGGCTTCGACGCAGACTGAAAAGGCCAAGTCATAGGAGAAAATGCCGACAGTTGTACCTAACCCAGTCGCTGCAGTCGTATGAAAAGACTGGATATAGATCAGGCAGTCCGCCGCCAGACGATCAGGAACGGAAAAACTGAGAGGTGGTCCTTCTATAGAGATGGATCGGGCAGTCTGCGGTCACGGTCATCACGAATATTGATTTGCAATTCTTCCGCTCTTACCTCCAGCATTGAATGTACCGTTAGGAGGGTGGGACGAGGCTTCATCATCATAGTATCTCGCAGGGATTCAACCACTGCGACTGCAAGGTAAGGGTCGTTCTTCGTAGGAGGTGGGCCTTTTGACGGCTGAGACGCCACTAGTTCAGCGGCTTTAAGAAGACGACGCAAAGTCGGTGTTTGAACGTCAAATCGCAGAAGGGCCCAACGCAGATACACCTCCGTATGCACCATGAGTTCCTGTACCAATGTGAGTCGATAGCATGACTTGATCTCAACACAGGGGTCATACACGGCTGTTACTCGGATCGCGCTCTGCGAGGATTGTTACCACCGAGATAGCGGGATCCCCATCGAAGTCTTCCGATGGCCAGTCAGCAGTATGACGGGAGATGTTTGAGAGGAAAAAGCCCATCTCTACGTTTGAGGTTAATCGCTAGTGGACACAAAAACAAGAGAACCAACGAACCAGTGATGAGATCAGGAGGCCATCCCTGAATATACACCTTGTCAACATATCGGTGCAGATTCCTCACAATGAAGTTGAAATCAGTATGACTGGTGCGAGTGAATGCTTTCTCGATGACATCGCGAAGAGCAAACTGTAGCCCGTCTATGCCATCTTTGGAGCAATCTTTCAGGGTCACCATCAATGCTTTAAGCAGACTGTCTGAAGCATCACCATTTTTGAAGAGGAGGACGAATAATCCATTATTTGGAAATCTAGACCAGATTGTCAGAGACGTGATATCGATGTAAGTGCCTCAAGTATGCACCTGTTGAAAGTTGAGGACAAGAACACTTTGCCTTGAGCAACGAGAATATCTTCGGTGTTGAAGTCGAGAGAACCCAACATGTCTGCAACAGCATTGATTTGACGGCTAGATATAATGTCAACGTGGATGACCAGATGCACGAGATTTGGATACGCACGTTAGTATGGCAGCTGCATCTCCCGAGAACTTTCTAAGGTAGCATTGGTTGACCGTAAGCGCTAATTGTCGGTTATCATACGGAGTATCCATGGAGAATATTTCTGTGGTGCGAGCCACCGCTGCCCGGAGGTCCGTGTCGAAATTTCTCAGCACTGGCGACCGCATATCATACTAACATGTGAGTTTGGAAGGTGTAAAGCTGCTACTTCTGGTGCTACATACCTTTAGGATGACAATAATGAGACATTCAAGCCAGGCTCTTAGAGCAAGATGCGACATTGTTCGAAAATCTGAAGCCTTACGCACAGCATCTAGGACAAGGTCAACGAGAAGCGTGCCGACCAGACATGAGATAGCTGGATCGGAGGTGATGTTAACCCCTAGCATTGAAGGTGACGCGTTGGCTTTGGTGGAGGCATCTAGAACACATTTGGCGGCTGCAAGGCAAGAAAGTCCCTGTTCAGCAGGATTTGGCACGAATACTGGCCCGAGCGCTACATGACATGTGCCATCCGCGGCAATGCGTAATATTGCTTGAGGGAAACCAACCTGTCGGGCAAGAAAAACTTTGATCTTGAGGAGATCAACCGGATCCACCGTTACTCCATGAGCAATAAAGTTAAGAGCCAACGACACCAGCATAGCCTGCGTTCGTGGATTTGAGCTGGCATCCGACGTCTCCGTCACGTCGATGATGTTGTCATATATGCTGGAAGGGTCTTCATACATGCTACGATCATTCCCTAAGGCATCGACGATACACCTAATCGATACCACTGTATGGAGTCAGCATTGTGTCATTCAAGTGCGACAGGACACCAACTAGACCAAGTTGGAAAACACGGGTGCAAACGGAGCAGAAAGCCCACGAATTGTTCCTTTCTTGCATCGTCACAATTTTCAAGGTAATTGTCCCAGGAGGACTGAATAAAAGCCCAGTGAGATGGAAGGAGATTTTCTGCCAAGGTTTCGATGGTCGACCGAACGAGTTCCTGCAGAAATCAACATTGTAAGGCGCCTGGAACCACGAACCACGACCCAACTTACTTGGTCATCTTCCCAAACCAGTCTAAAGAAGCGGCGATATAGGCCAGACAGGCGCCGTCGTAAGTGGGGTTTGAGCTGAACAGGATCACAATTGTTAAGTTCGAGGATGAGAGAAAACAGAGTTCCAGCGCTGTCTAGCCTACCGCAGAGTCAGAAGGATACACGTGAATCTGCAGGCACATACCTGGTATGCCACGGCTGATTGAGATCGAAAACTTCGTCCAATAAAGCCTCAAAGGACAAATCATCCACTGTGTGAAGTTTGAGGAGACATTTGAGGCGAAGGTCTGGCATGTGGGCCGAATTCCACGTGAAAGAATGCCATAAGCTGTCCCGGGATTAGACAATTTCGGCTAATGGTGCAAGCATGGTGCTTACATTCTATATATTGACTCGCTATTGATGTTGATGAAGAGGTCAAGATCGGACTGCGAGACCAGCGTAGCCTCCGTCAGCAGAAGTCCAAGGAAGTTCATCACGTAAGACGCCGTGGTCTCGCTGCCAAGGCGGGAGAGTCGCAGCAGCAACGCAACAAAAGCGTCAGAGACAGACAGAGGTTCCGGAGGACCATGAATCCTTCCACCGGCTCGCCGGCTGGATACGTACGTAAGTGCATTGCCCCGCTGATCTGTCGAGGAAACGTACCGAGAGGTTAGGACTTCATGTTCTTCATGTCGCACCAGCCCGCTGTTCACGATCTTCTCACGGTCAACCCCAAACAATGCTAGCAAAGTAGCTAAGCTAAGCCGAATGAATGGTGCTCTGAAGTGTTTCAGTTCGGAACCATTGGAGAACAGAAGATCGCGTACTCGACTAGATCGGATGATTTATGCTTAATAGAGCTTATCAAAGCCGCCTCATTGAGTTCCAGTAGAGTTTCGATGAGCACAGCAAGGTTTCGGCGCCTTAATGACCGGATCCAGATGCTGGCGAATATGGCATGTACCAAATACAACTGAACATCGAGCGGGGCTTGGAAATCTCGAGCAAAAGCCGCAATTTGTTTGAAGGTCAGTTCGGGTATATTGACGCCGGATTGGGCTAGGAGAAGGACCCATCTCAATGAGCGCGCGATTCCTTCGACACCTTCTGAAGCAACTGATGTCACAGAGCGCCAGGGGTCAATCAAGTCGCTGAGGGAGGGTTCTTGATCAAGTGGGTCATCACCCATGACTGTCCTTCTTCGGGCATTTTCCGGCTCCGCCTGGAAGAGACGAGGCAATGTTCGCACCACCATAGGCTATCAAACGCATGAGCAATTGAAGGGAAAATCCGAGAATTCTACGTCACCAAGTCCGTCCCATGATTTGAGATTTCATCAAGCCAAAACATGAACAGTTCATCAAAGGCCGTAAAGACCACTGAAGATTGACAAAGCTTGAGGAAAGCGCGTAAGGTAGCATCTGCAAACGCTACATCTATCTGATTGGCCGAGATGATTAGCTGGACTGCGAATACAAGAAGTGAAAACCAACCTTGGGTGTGGCTTGCTTGTTTTCCGTCGAAAGAAAGAGTGCATCCATCAGCCTTGATGATTCAGTTTCTTCCGCCGCAGTAGCAAGACAGTGTTCGTGAAGAATCTTCACGTACTCTGCTGTGTCGAGCGTGTGCGCACGCAATAGCCATGGAATACCGTATTTTTCCAGTAAACCTCGTCTGAAAGCAAGATATTCGTTTCCTCCAGACATAGTGCCACCCTGTACAATAGCTGGCGACTTGAATGCGGTCGCCGTAGGCCATGGCTGAGTATCTAATGCGGTGCGAATACCTGGCGCGGGCTTTTTCTGAGACACGTAATCGCTTGCAACAGTGAGAAGATTTCGGTCTTCACGCATTATCCATTGCAATACCGCTCGTACAAGTCGTTCCACAGCATAGGTCGACATTAAGCCGTTGGGGCAGCATCTCTTCAGTAGCAAAAACCCAGCTTCGTTAACCATCAAGTCCACGTCAGTGAGACAGCCTTCCACCGCTGAAAATAGTGTTTCCACGTTGTTCGAAAGGTCCACGGCCAGCGGAAGAGGAAATCTGCACAGTTGTTGTGCAGGAGCAGTACCATCAAGAAGATCACCTGCTAAGTCTAGCCGTTCGAGCAAACCGAGTCGATGTAAATATCTGAGCGTGTGCTGAACGATGAAGTCCATGTCGATGAGCAGCTTCTGTGCGAGAACATCGTATGCATAAGCTAGCTCCGTGACCTCATATGGCTGTCCTTCTTCCTCCTCGATGGTAGGAGTAAGGATCTCTGGACGAAGCAGACTCCCAGACAAGTCTTCCCGTTTCCCCTTGGGTCCCTTGATAAGACTTGTCATGTAATACAGAAAAGAGGGGTCAAAGAGAAGCATTCGTGGTCCAGGCCCAGCGCCGTCCATTCTACCGTAGTCCATCATGACGTCTGACTTCTGAAGGGTGTTATTCTGTAAAATTGCATCGCAAAGCCGGACGAGATACTGCAACTCGAATTCATCCACACCGTTCGTTCTGGCTGCTCTGGTAGTAGGAACTGCCTGGTTGATTGTGACCGAGGCAGCAGCAATACCGTTATTCATCAGCTGAAGCTGAAGCCAAAGTAGGCACAAGATGATTGAGACGGTTTCGTGAGAATGAGTGTGCAGTTGTTGCTCCGTGAGCACAATAGGGCGGTAATAGTTCACGAAGCTCCGTCGCAACAAGGACCAGTCGATGGAATAAGTGGCTTCTGAAAGAACGATTTTTCCACATTCTGGGGTCACTCGATCTTCTGAGTTGTGAATACACTCGAAATGGGCACATTGGTGGCACCCCGAGCACATGAGACCCTGTCTTGCTACGCCCCATATTGGCTCTTGACAGACAAAGCACAAGCTCAGAGTGAACATGTTGACCCATCGGAGAATATGCCCAGCGATGCTGAGCGGCTCTTCTGGATCCGTTCTTCTTGCCGGCAAGATATGCGAGAACCGCATGATCGCGAGCCTCTGCACTCCAGATGATGTCGTATACTCGGTGATGGTACTGCCCTCCGGTGGATCGTAGCACGTAAAGTGCACCGCCGAATTGCAAAACGGGCACAATAATCCAAAATCATGCACAGGCTTCATACATGCCCTACATGGAATCTGACTCAGTTTTTGTGTAGCTTGCTGGGCGAATTCGCTCATGTTTGTCATGCTGTTTCCGGTCATTCGTTTGGGTGGAGGAGGGAAACGCCAGGGGAGGAACTCGTGCGCGTAAGGGTGGTCGGAGGGTTCTTGGATGCCTCGCAGAAGTCGGCTGGATTGATCTTGGGCGGGCTGCCAGACTGGCAGAGGAAGACATACGACGTTATGCCCCAGGGCCTTGGGCCAGAAAGTTGCTAATACGGAGAGAGCAGCACGACGCGCTTGGCCACTATTGTATGCCACTATCTCGAAAACATCTTGGTACACGTCTGGTTTGAGATCGACCAATGTTCGGAAGAGTCGACGAACCCAATACCCCTCGTTGTCCGACGTAGGGAGGGTCATGTCCATATTTTCCAAGACGGACGCCAGAAGTGGTGAGATGAGAGCAGAGAGGTAATAAACACGCATCGGCTGATCAGGCGCATACGTACTGACAACATTTTTCTCCGCCGTTGTGGCTGTCGACCAGAGGAGAATCCCTCCCGGCCCACGGGATTCTCCATCACTTTCATTGGCCGACTCTACTTGGATCGAGATCTGCGGGGTGTTGAAGGTGAAGGTTGGTCTATCCTCGAACGGATCCCCGATGACAGGCTTCTTCTTGGGGCTGAGGACCAGTTTCAGATCGCTCAAGCAGCCACAAATCACACCTTCGAAGAATCCGCACAGTCTGCCACGCATGGACTCTGGGAAGCTTTCAAACGCGGGCATCATTGCTAAGCCGACCTCGTACGCGCCCTTGGCACTGGCAGCGCCTTTCTGGGACACGAGCAAACACTGACAGACGTCGATGCACAGAGACTGAAGGGTGTTAGGTGGCCGGCCGGGTCGAAAGTGGGTCACGGTGAACCGACAGTCGTTGGAGATGAGCTCGCCAAGAAGGGACACGCATTGGTGGAATAGCTGAAGGCCGTCATCGGATTTGCCTTTGTTGACTGAACCGGCGGAGGGTCGATTGGAGTTCCCGATTGTACTACGGCGACGGCGCCCGAAGGGGAGACCAGAGGTGCGATTACCAGATCCTGGGTCTTCGTCAGTCGTCCCGGAACTGTAGCAACGTCAGAATGAGCGAGGACCAAAAACATGACGAACCTGAGAATATGAAGTCCTCTCAATTCTGCCCCAAGCAGTACCTCTCTTAGCTCAATCATACGGTCGCATGTGTCGTCCGTATCCTCTCGTCGCTTTCCAGGTTTAGATGCTGCCTCCTCATCCTCGCTGGCATACGGAACGCCTTCGCCACCTAACCCTGATGCGACGCTCACGAACCCGCGTAGACTAGAAGTCTCGCTCTGACTCCGAGGAACATTGGAGGACGAAGTCTGGAGAAATGAGAATATGTCTGGAGGTTTCGCACGGTCCTGCAACCGTTGGAGAACATGCCGAAGGAGCTTGCGGTATTCGACTCGCAATCGTGAGAGTGGCGCATTGACATTTCGGCTCTCAACCTGTTGTACGGGAGAGAAGGGTGAAGGAGAATCTTTCGATCCAATAGAACTACGCAGGGAAGGTATGGCGAGGGAGAGCGCCCGACTGCTACCTGCAGAGGACTTTGTTGGCGTATCGAGCTCGATGGTTGTCAACCCAGAGGGTGACGTGTCGACACGCAGCAAACCCGAATTATTTGGTGGCGCCGAAACAGTGAGAAATGGAGATGGCTCTTTGGAGCTCATCTTACGTAGATTTGAACAGCGATTATGGGCGCATGGATGGAGAATGTTGCACTGCGGTTACAGTAACGTTGGTGGTGTGAAGGAAACGGTCGACGAGTACTACATCGCGCCCACGACGCGGGTCAGGGTCCAGCTTCTAGTGGCTGTGTAACGATATCGAGATAGTGCAACCATCCCTACGACCACATGAATTAGCATCTAATCTTCTCCATCATGGCAGCAAACACCATCTACACTAGGATCTGTACTCTCCATTTCACTGGTCCTGTTATGAACTCGGCGTGTCCATGGGCGACCGACGAGAAGGACTTGAATGCTCTGTACAACAGTCCGTACACAGGTGGTGTAACTACACGCACGGCGACGGAATATGGATTCAAGGAGGATACGACCATTCATCAAGTGTGTTCATTTGTCGTAACTATTGATTATTAAGTATATTAAAGAGTCATAGCATGCTTTTACCCCCATCGCATCCCTGAACAACTACGGCTATTCCCCATACCCACTCTCGCGATACCTCATCTGGATTCGTTCTCTCCTGCAGAACTCTACCTCTCCAAAGCCGATCATCATTTCTATCACCTCTTCTCGTCCCTCCGAGCTCGCCTACATGATCAATTCCATCCAGCTTCTTCGACGAGAGCTTGGTGACCCGTCTGCCCCAAACAGCCGAATAGGGATCGAGCTCAACACCTCGTGTCCCAACATTGCGGATAAACCGCCGCCCTCGTATGATGCAAGAACGCTCTTGTTTCTTCTACATCCACTGGTTGAGGCGGTGCGGAAAGATCCGACACTCACAGTAGGGATCAAGCTCCCGCCTTATGTTATCCCCTCACAGTTCACGGATGTTCTCAATGCGATTCAGAGCCTGCAGACAGAAGGAGAGGAGCAGAACCCTATCGCATTTCTTACGTGCACAAATACTTTGGGTGGTTGCCTGATCACTGCAGATGAGGTGGGGATGAAACGTATAGAGGGTAAGGAGTGGGCATTGGCGGGTGGGTATGGCGGGATGGGAGGAAGCGCTCTACATGCTGCCTCGTTGGGGTGAGCAAACTGTACACCTTGGTAGCCATCGCAAAACTGACGACCAAAATTCTCAGAAACGTGCACCGGTTTTCAAACCTCATTGATAACCATCCATCTTTACCGATGAGGCAGATCGCTATAATTGGTGTTGGTGGTGTGAGCGATTCAGCAGGTGTGAAACGCATGCAGGCTGCAGGTGCTACAATGGTTGAATGTGCCACTGCACTTGGCAGGTTTGGGGTAGAGGTATTCGAGAAAATGCAGGTGTAGAAGCAATGCGCGTCCCTTAACAAGAGTCCGTTCCGGTCACAATGGTCACAATCGAGCAACGTCTCGAACGTGAGACAGAGTCTGCTCTCGGACTGTCACATGACCATGGATGATCTAAGTACAAATGCGCTAGAGGTCTAAGAAGTCTACAATATATCACACCGATGGTCCACCGAGGGACTGATATCATCACAATCGAGCAATTAGGCCTGCGAGAGCTGGCAATTTCGCCTCGCAAAGGGAGCTGAAATAGAACTCGTGCTCTGAGTTGTGTGGTTGAACAAGATTGTGCTGTGTCTAGTGAGCCAAAGATGGTAGACGATCACCAGGAAAACTCACGGCGATCTCGTGGGCGAGGGTGAAGTACCAGCTGATCAACGCCTTGCCCAACTCACCCCGCTGTACATCCGCATCATGCCATGCCTCATAGTATCGAAGGTTGAGGAAGATACTGCCATTGCGGTTGAAAGCGATAAGGGGACCGTCCAAGTCGAAGAAAATATGCAAGCTCGTTTGCGGCACTCCATATATCTCGCCCATCAAGAAGATAACGGCAGAACTGAAGCGCTGCAACGATTGTTGTTTGGAGCTGAAAATCGCCTTGGGGTCATTTACACCTTGTAATAGATGAGAACGACAAACATCGGGGAGATGAAAACAGACCTTTGGTATAGAATCGATGACTTTCCACGTTTCCGACATAGATCATATCACCAACCGCACCGCTGGCGTCACAATACCCTTCGTCCTGCAAGCGTTGAGCAGACTACGCCAAAGCAAACCGTATAACTCACAAGTGCTTCCCTGACTTCCGACATCTCCTGCCTATTGTGCAGCAGATTACCCCTCTCAGGTCTGCAGGCCGCCAGTGCTTGGTTCAAGTTCGCTTCGATATTGCTGATCGGGGTGACATGCTGCTCGGGCCTGGGCACTCGTCCTCCGCTGACTTGACCAAGCCGGGGCGGCATTACTGGTGCAGGCATACTTCCTGGCATTGCTCCCTCGTCGTCCAAGAACTCCGTCTGTTGCCCCGGATACGGAGGGGGTGGAGGCCGAGCAGATTCAAGTGATCCACCAGAGGGACCTGCCGTGATAGAAGGCGGCTTAGAGGGACCTTGGGAAACATCCCTGCCCTGTAAGCGATCCTTCAGCTTATTGAAGGAATTCAGGAAGCTTCCATTTGCCACTGATTCGATTCTACTAGAGGTGTTAGTGGCAAGTCTCGAGCAATGTACACGGACACAAACTCACTGCTTTGAGTCTTGCTGCGGTTCCAGCCCGCTGGATTCTGCCTGTAGTCGGTGTTCACGCTCTTGCGCTTGAATAGCGTCTTCTCGAGCTTTCTGCTGCTGTAAGATCCGATTGACAGCGTATCCGCGTCGCTTCAGTGCCCTGAGCTCTGTCGACAGTAGGGTAGAAAGAAGAAGGCTGTCGTTCACACCATGCGCCTGAAACAGAATATTGCACAGCACGTTGGCCACCTCGAACCAATCAAGACTGTCGCTTGTCGAGACCCACATGGTCACTGGCCCAGACCGTCCCTGGCGGTTCCCTCCTGCAGACGCTTCGGTGGTGTGGTCATAGCGCATGTTATTCCACTGAAGCTGACGTGTCAAGCGAAGCCCACGGACAGAAAGGACGCGGAAATTTGCGTCATTCTCTAACCACTCCGGCTTGATTACCAGCTTCAACCGGCTTTCTGAGGCGAGATGCTCGTGCAAGAAAAGTGGCAGTCGCTCTAAGATAAGCGCTCTAGTCTTCTGTGCAAACTGAGAACGGTCTGCCGCTCCCTGCGGTTTATAGGATTCAGAGACCAATTGACTGAGCCTCTGTGATCCAAGCTGTTCGTAGAAGCTTAGGAATGAATCAACACCAAAAATATATCCGATAGAAAAGCTGAAACTCACGCTTCTAACGTGTCCTCCTGAGGTGCACCATACAGGTGTACACTGAAGGTTGCATAGGACGATGCGTCATCCACAATGACAATCTGAACAATGACCGATGAGCAGTAAGAAACGCAGGAGGGCAAAGAGAGGTAACTGCACTTCTTCAGCCTTCCTCAGCTCATATGAAAATACAACGTCTTCGTCCTCATCCTCAAACTTCGACTTTTTTGGAGATGTTGAGGATTGCCTCCGTGTGCAAAGTAGAAATGCCGATTTCTTCAGTTCGTTGCGGGTCCGGACAGGAAGCAGGTGCCTGTTTGCTGCCATATTGCGGAGAATACCCAGGTATCTAAGAAAATCATTGAGGTTTGACTCTGGTCATCGTCATTGGACGCACCGCTCTGCGCCGCCAGATGATTGATAGAAGCGTCGTGGGTTGGTCACCAAGAACTTCGCGATCTCTTGTACAGTCGGCTCACTTTTGACCCCACATTGACGAAGGAAGGCATTGGCTCGAGTGCCGAAATCAACGAAATGAAATAGCTCCGAGAATTGTCCTGAGGCCTGGGAACTGGAGGCAAAATAGCAGTCGGTAGGCTTGAGCATCGTGAGTTTCATGTCGCTACCTTTCTGCTCAATGTAAGGAACAACAGCAGAGTCGCTGAGCCTCGCTAAATCGCCACTGCCCAGCTCTACGCGAACACTTTTAGCACAAAGTCAGATAACCCAGGCACGACTTACCTGCAAGTCGATTGCTCATGTACTCGAACATGGCTACGGCGCCTGGAGCACTCTTGGGAGGATTCCGGATCAATCTCGCCACAACCATTTCCATGGGAGGCTGTTCGCTTATCTTCAACTTATGCACAGAACCCTGATAGGCTGGATCAAGGATGCTGAAGCCAAAAATCGACGCCTCCGATTTTGAGAACACCTACATCCGACATTAGTGAGCAGTCATCAAATTAACAAAGCATCTGAACCTCTGTCGGCTTGCTCCGATGTTTCGATCCATCGGGATGGATAGCAGGTACGAAAGCCCATGACTCCATTACTTTACCATTTGCTTTCTTCGCATATACGTCATCGAAGTGTTGCAAATAGTAGTCAAAGGCAGCTTGAGCTCGTGGTTGCTCGCCGGCGGCCAGTTCTAGAATGGTCTCTATTGGGGGATGTCGCTTCAACCCGAGCACATTGGTAAGGAATTTGGCTAATTGACGTTAATCATCGTAACCACGAAGGTAGGTCGGCATCTAACCTTCTTCAGAGTGGGGCTTCCACTTCGGCTTCCAGTCCAAAATTGGTAATTTAAGCTGACGGAGTGCTTCATCTGGAACGTAGAGATCTTGTGCGAGATGGCGGGTTTTGCTAAGTGCACCCTGACCTTCTTGGGGAAAGGCCGCTGTTTGGCGTAGACGGGTCTTCTCCTCTACTGAGAGCATGTCCTTGACAGCAACCAAATATTCCACGAGCCGTGCAATATCCCAGTCACCAGTCGTCACCATTCTGACACACTCATCAATGATATATTCCGAATAGGGAAATTGTCGACTAACTTGGAGAAGACAAGCTGCAAATCCACATGCTTGCGGACACCAAGCGCGAGCAGGAGCTTCTCCAGGTTGCTTCGGCTAGTAGGTGCATTCTTTGAGAACTCGATGACAGGAAGATCTTCAAATATGTGGGCAGTTGGGAAGTACGCTAAATGCTGCTTTAGCACCGAACACGTTTGAGATCGCTTCTCACTAACCTTCTGTCGGCTTCTGCATACCCTTGGTGGTGTGGATGCAAGATGTTTGTTGAAGGGACTCTGTAATTGACGTCCGGATATTGTCCGGCATCGTCTGCCAACCCCTTACGGCAATGGTCAAAACTCTCTCAGCGAATGCAGGAGACAGGGAGATGTTTGTCTCCACCTCGCGATCTGGCGATGAGATGAACCGGACCCAATCCGTTAGCTTCAGCTCAGTCCAGCCAAATAGATGCGTGAGTCGATCAATGGTGAGGAACTTCGAGATCGAATAGGGTAGCGTCTCTCGTGGCAGAGGCACATCGGTCGGAATATTGAACTGTCCGCGGGGATTGAGATAGTTGTTAATCTCTGAGAGCGAGATGACTGTGCCCTGACCCTGCGTAGCGCCGGGAAGTGTCACCACGGCAGCTCCCAGGAACTGCCGCTTTAAGTCGGCAGAATGAGATACGCCGTCCGTGTTAAGGTTGATTCTCCACTTCAGACAGTTGATCATCTCCGTCTCAGACAAAGGGCGTGACCTCAACTCGGTTAGGACATCCTCGAAGTTTATGTCTCGCACGAGTCCACGCTCTGTGAGGGTGTCCATCAGATTTGGGACGCCGTCCATGATGGCTTCTGGAATGACAGGCAACTGCTGCAAGAATCCTGAAAACTCATGCCTCGGCAGCCTGATCTTGTCCCTGGTCAAAACGCCAGCGGTGGAAAGTAGTGGAATGGTTCGATTTCTTGCACATGCAAAGAATGCCGCTTCAATGTAGTCGGAAAAGATGGATGATGGTGCTGCTCGGTAGACGCTGAAGAACTTCATCACATGCAGACATTTTTGCACCAGGTCGGCACGATAGGTCGAATCTGTATTTTCGTTCCACAGCCGGCCTATGTCCGACATCTTGAATTCCCAGACGGCGCGGCACAGGTACCCGCCAACAAAAAGAAGTTCCTTGTTCCATTGGGAAACATGGCGGTCACTAATAGGATGTCAATGCAAGGGACGTGCGTATAGATTATCGTCGTACACCAGATCAACCGACTCTCGCTCAACAGTCGGGATGAACCTGGCAGCCATATGGCCAGCAACGCCGGTTGTCTGAGCAGTAGGCTGACCCTGAGATCGGAGTCAGCTTCAGCATGGTAACAGGAGACACCATGAGGACGTACGATGAAGACCTTCGCTAGACCCGTGTGCTCCATATCCGCTCTTAGACTCCGAAACACGCTTCCTGTAGCTTGGAACTCTCTCAGGTCCTCCTTCGCGCTGGCATCATAATCTTCTTTGCTGGTCTGAAAGATATTTCCGTTAGGTGGGACTTTGAAACAATGGAGATGAACTCACATATATGAGGTGGTATACTGTCTTGCTAGATGGCTTCTTTTTCGTAGCCCGCTCTAGTTCCTGGAGCAACTTCCGGTCCATCTTCACGTCCACATGAGCCGAATAGACATTGAGAGCAACGTTGCTCTCAATCTCAGTGAACGGATCTGGCTCGCTCTGAATTGCGGGGGTCGGGACGGGGGGAGGAGTGGGCGTATGCTGCTTGCGTGAAAAGAAGGCGGAAAAGAATCCTCTTTCGTTAGACTGCGAGGGTGTGGGAATGGATATGATGGGCTTGGCGACACCGGTGGTATAAACCCAGCGAAGGATAGATGCTTTCATACGGAAGGCTGTGTGCAACATGAGTATCACTATTCTGAAGATCGGTGCAGTTCCGCGTACCAGTCTGGTCAATCCCTCTGATGGTCATCATCTTGCCGGGGCTGGCACCACTCAACTGCCCCGGCACACCCAGATTCCGAGGTGTATCCAACTCCTTCACAATTCTAACCAGCCTCTTCTCGTTCCAGTACACACTGACGTCCCGAAGGCGGTTCATGAACGTCAAGCTCGTTGCCAGGAATCGTGCAATCTCAATCGGGGGGGCGGGTAGTGGACCAGGCTCACGGAGACTCATCTCGAAGGATGTCCAGGGATTGCCGTCCGACGCAGCTGGAGGTTCAGGATTCGGCAGCTCTCCACGACGCACAAATAGCTGATCTCCTCCATCACGCCAGTAGAATCCCATCCAGGAAGAGCCGGATTTAACAAATGGCTGGTCTGTGACAGAGAAGAGAGAGTAGAACTATATGTGTGAAGAGAGTCAGTGACGTGATAGGCATATAACAGAAGCGGCACACACCCCTACACCAAAGGCACCAATCTTCTCCTCGTCCGGATTTCCTTCTGCGATCTTCTTAAGCCGGTTCCAATCTTCCTCTTTGAATACCATTCCGTCGTTCTTGAACGTCCACTGGTATACGACGTCCTTTTTCAGATTTGGTAGTCGGTCCGCTAAGACTTCAAGTGAAGAATTCTCCATGTAGGCTTTGGTATCAAACCGAATCTCTGCTCTTGTTGCTTGTGCATCGTCGGCATTCTGGAGGAGCTCTCGAAAGACTGGGGATCGTAGTCAGCAGCCTGACAGCATCGATAGTCCGATGGACGCACCAGTGAACTCTCCTGAGTAGCGAGCGAGCACCTTATCTATCAGTGCCCGCTGATTAACTTCCACCTGCTCATCTCTGCCGTTCTCCCACTGTCGAGAAGTATAAGCTTCGACCTTATAAATCGACAAGCGAGCAGCAACGCACCAGTGACTCTCTTCCAGCCATGAGACCCGCGTGATTCCTCGCACAAGCAGCGATTATAATATGATGTTGCTCTGAGTCTGATGTATCTCTTTTAAACGTTCAGATACAGTCCCAAGGAGATAGAAAAGGATGAAGAGTAAAGTTATGAATTAGTTAGCTCCTGAGCGCACTCATCTCTCCGGGTTTTGTTAGTGCACAGCGCAGTCAGACGACGCATCCCTGTCAAACGAGTATAGACGAGAAAGGTAGTAAGTAACGCGCGCGTCGGAGGCAAAAGATCCTACTTTTACCAAATATAGAAAGAGCTTGATCACGAACCAATGCTATGGACCTTGCCCATGGCATTGCTTAAATAAATAATTCTCTTAGGTAAAAATATGATGATATCACCCTACCACTAACCCTAACCCTAACCCTACCCCACCCTAACCTTAACCACCCTAACCTGCTGGATGGGATCCTAACCAGTACCCTAACATCATGCAGGCGCATAGGGCAAGAATTCCCTTTTTCGGAAATTACAGAGGTAAATTGCCTCTAATGCATGCATTACTACATGCTACTTACTACCTTTCTCATTGTCACTCCTGTCAAATGTCACCACACCCAACCTTATTGCTGACAACCAGCCACAACTTTCTGAATTCCTCTTTTTATGGGGGGAGGTG